GTGACGGATGCCCTGATAGTCATCTGTCTCTCTCCCTCTGAGTCTGGAGTGGCAGGGTTCTGCACTCCAGAAAACTGCAGGTTTTCAGGTTCTACTTTGCCCCTGTTCAGAAGTGAAATTCCCGCATTCAGAGCATTCAGTGCTCCGCGGCTCTAAGTGCACTCCCTCCATGGTCATGGTACTTAAGAAACCTGCGCTCAAGTCCAGCCTCATCCTCTTCCAAAACTGACTCACATCCCACACCCACTCCAGCCAGAGTTTGGAAAGGGAAAGGCAGGTGTGACCTGAACCACCATGATCCCAGTCTGCTCCGTCCTGTAAGCGTCACCGAAGCACACCACCAACAGAAATTTAATTAAAACTAATATTTAACCAACACACTACTCCAGTTTCCTCTGCCTGACTTAGTAAGCCAGAACTTCCTCTGAGCTCCGACCTCATGCACAAGAGATTTTTCTTATTAAAAGATAACCATCACCTCTCTTAAGAATCCATGGAGGGAAGTAGGGTGGTGAGTAGATGATTCTCAAATTTCAGTATCCAAGGGACCCTCAGGGTGGGGGATCACATGAAATGCAGATTGAGGAGTTTGGGGCCAGGCTTGGAACTTTTTTTTTGTTTCAGTCTTGCTAGGCAGGCAGTCTACCACTTGAGCCACACTTTCAACCCTTTACGCTCTGGTTATCTTGGAGGTAGGGTCCCCAGTCTGGCCTGGACCGTGATCCTCTGCTTCCTGGCTAGGATGACAGGTGAGCGCTACCATACCCAGCTCTTTTCCATCCGGGTGGGGCCAGTGTGGAACCACAGTCCTCCCAATCTCACCCTCCTGTGTAGCTTGGAATGAGAGGTATGCATGCAGTTATTGGCTAAGATGGGCTCTCATGAGCTTTTTGCCCAGGTTGACCTGGAACAGCTATCCTCCCAAACTCAGCCTCCCGAGTGACTAGGATTACAGGTGTGAGTCACTTGAGATGCCCAGCTGCATCTCTCTTTAAAAAAAAAAAAATTTACGGCACTGGTTTGAACTCAGCACCTAGCTCTTGTTAGTCAGACACTCTACAACTTGAGCCATGCCCCATCCCTTTTTATTCTGGTTATTTTTCAGATAGGCTCCATCACTTCTTGCTGGGGGGCTGGCTTTGGGTGGCAGTCTACCTCCCACATAGTTGAGATGCCAGGCATGCACCACCTCACCCAGCTTGTTTGTTGAGATGAGGGTCTTGCTAACTTTTTGTGCAGGCTGGCATCAAAACACAATCTTCCTGACCTGACCTCCCGTCCTGAGTAGGGAACTCTGCCTTTCTAGTGTACTCCAGGGAGGATGAAACGACCTCTGCTTAGAGACATGAGGGCACAGTACAGACAGCCCAGAACCCAGTACAGGCAGCAGCCCCTGGTCCTGGTCCTTTCCAAGGCCCAGCTGTGTCTCCTCCCCCCTGGTGGCAGGAGGTGGGGACCTGGCCATGATCTATGACTCTTTCCCACAGCATCACTCGCTTATAAGAAATATTGTGTGGAAATCCTGTTATCAAGGATGTTGTAGGAATTGTAATTGCTTTGGGAATTGAGGAGTTTCAAAGTTTATGCAGAAGGTCTACTGACCTTCTGTTTCTGGGGCAGTTTTTATTTTTCACATCACTTGTTACAAAAGGAAAGGAAGAGATGGAGGTAAGTTTTCCATGCAGGACTTTTCAATAGAGGATGGAAGTCGGTGATGTGCTGATTGGCACAAAGGAACGCCCTGACTTACCTGCTTCTCCAGCTGCAATTCACACACGCACTGGATATCCTTGGGAAAACCTCGGCTCCTGATGATCCAAATGAGCCTACCGGGGCAGGACGCGAGTTCCAGTCTCCCCACAATGCAGGGTTCACTGTGGACAGGAGCCAGGCCTCAGACCAATCCACATTCCCCCCTCTCCCCTGACCCTAACTCAGAGAGGAGACTGGACTGGACTCTGTGCAGTGCTCCATCCCTCAGAAGCTCAGAGGAACTGTCTAGAAGTGAGACCATCTTGAGGCTGATGAGGGTGTTCATAACCAGAAGGAATGGTAGTGATGAGTGTCAGTGCTGATGTAGAGGCAGGAGAACCTTTGCTCATTGCTGGTGGGGATGTCAGTGGTGCAGCCACAGAGGGAAGAAGTTGGGCAACTCCTTCAATGTGCTTGTCATAGGATCCAACAATTCCACTCCGAGGAATACACCCAAGAGAACTGAAACCAGGAGCTCACACACATGTTCGTACAAATGTGTTCATAGCAGGACTCATCACAACAGTCAAAAGGCAGGAACACCTCAAATGTCTACTGATGGACGAATCTACAATTGTAGCATATCCGTGCAGTGGAATGTTAGCTAGCCACAGAGTGAGGTACTGATTCATGCTACAAGGGCAAACCCCAAAAACACTATGCTAAGTAAAAGAAGCCAGACACAAAAGGTCACCGTGTGACTTCATTTATTTCTAGAATAAGGAAACCCATGGAGACAGAAAGCAGATGGGTGGTGTCCAGAACAGGGTTGGGAGGACAATCCTGCCTAACAGACTCAGGATTTCCTTTTGGGGCAATAAGGATGTTTGTAACTGGGAAAGGGTGGTGGTTGCCCAACTCTCTGAATGTACTAAACCCCCTGAGTTGCACTTTAGGGTGGTTAGTTTTATGTGATGTGAACTTCACTCAATAAAAAGAAAAGGTGACAGAGTGACCCAGAAAAGGAAAGACTAGAGTTTCATTCCAGCAGTTAGACTTCCCGTCCAAGAAACAAGAGTTGGAAAGAGGTTTATTGACCAGGTCTACTGACCGTGGAAGGAAAACCAGTACCCAACGTGGTTACTCACTTTCCTTTCCAGGGGAATGAGGGAAATTAATGAACGGAAGGAAGGAACATGGTCTCACCACTCAGACACACGCTTTCCACGTGGGTTGCCTCAGCCTTTTCTTTGGCTCCATGAAATAATCCCAGTGGACAGGCGTGCAAAGGGTGGACATGTCTTCTCCCAGTGAGAAATGTTTCATCTGCCCAGGGAAGTTCCTGTAGCACTAGCAAACAGAATTCTTAGTGTGATGAGGGCAACTTGAAGGCTGTGTGGCATGGTGTGTGATCTCAAGAAGGGGACATCCTAGTACAGCCCCAAACAGACAGAAATGATCCACACAAATCCAAGTCTAAACATCTTTTCTTACCAAATTTACAAGGGCAGTGTTAAAACTGCCACGCTCTAGAACGAACGAGGGGCTCCTGTGTCCCTGGTCACAGCCCCCCATCTCTCACCATGATCACCCTCCCGGGGCCTCGAGCTTATAATGTTCTTCTGAGATCCTAACCCTTGTGGGCCTCGCCACTGCCCTTGACACTGGAGCCCAGCGCCAACCCCAGTAGAGTGCTTGCTGATGTGGCACTGGGTGACTCTTCTGGGACATGTGGAGGACAGAGGAGGAGAGCCCACCTCTCTCACACTCAGACACTGGCTCAGATAGAGCCCCAGGGAGCTGTCCAAAACTTGCCTTGGTGTCTTGTTGGGGGTGTCATCTGACACCAACCCCAGTCTTGATCACGTGGAGGTCTCCCCATGCTCTTCAATGTCATGCCTCAGTGACAACCACACTGTGCCTTGGCTGCCTGTGGGATCCTCAGCTCCACCTCAGCTCTGTGGCACGTGGAGGATGGCGTGTGACCTCTCAGTAAAGACACACACCTGCACTGGACAGTTCGTATGGGAAGCACTAGTCGTGGGCAGAGAAAAGAAAGGCCAGAAACACCTTGAGCACATGATAAAAGCGAGAGCACACAAGGGAGGGGTGAGGATAGGTAAGACACCTAAAAAACTAGCTAGCATTTGTTGCCCTTAACGCAGAGAAACTAAAGCAGATACCTTAAAAGCAACTGAGGCCAATAGGAAAAGGGGACCAGGAACTAGAGAAAAGGTTAGATCAAAAAGAATTAACCTAGAAGGTAACACCCACGCACAGGAGATCAATGTGAGTCAACTCCCTGTATAGCTATCCTTATCTCAACCAGCAAAACCCCTTGTTCCTTCCTATTATTGCTTATACTCTCTCTTCAACAAAATTAGTGATAAGGGCAAAATAGTTTCTGCTGGGTATTGGCGGGGGAGAGGGAGGGGGCGGAGTGGGTGGTAAGGGAGGGGGTGGGGGCAGGGGGGAGAAATGAACCAAGCCTTGTATGCACATATGAATAATAAAAGGGAAAAAAAAAAAGAGAGAGACAGCCAGGGCAAAAAAAAAAAAGAAAGGCCAGAAACAAGGTCCAATCCATCCCCCCACGGTCTCAGGGCAGGAGAGGGGTTGGAATGTGAAAGCAAGTTTACATGGCGGACAAAGGTTCTTCATGAAGAGTGAACAAAAGGTGAGTTTATCTGAAGAGGAGTTGGGACCAGGGCTCTTCACTTGGCCACGCCTGTGGAACACTGGTGCATAGCCGTAATAGAAGAAAACATTCCTCCAGAAATTTATTTGAATGTATTCTTAGTTTTTAAGTTTCCTATTGTGACTAAAATGTATGGCAGAACACTCACCCCTCTTAACTGTTTTCAGGTGTACTGTTCTTGTGCAACCCATATCTGCATTAACTGGTGCAAACCACCATCCATCTCCAGGCTGTTTTCATCTTCTGAAACCAAGGCTCCAACCTGAAAAGCAAAAGTCCCCATCCCCTCCTCTCCCAGCCCCCGCCATCCATCATCCTGCTTTCTGTCTCTGTGAACTTGACCAATTAAGAAGCTTCACATAGGTGGATTATACAGCGTTTGTCTCTTTGTGACTGGCTTATTTCATAAGCATATGTCTTCAAAGTCCATCCATCTTGGAGCATGTGTCAGGACTTCCTTTACAAGGCTGGGTAATATTCCACTGGATGGGTATACCATGTTTGTTTTGTTTGCCTACTGTATACATTCAGTTGGGAAAAATAGGGATGAGATCATATAAATCTTCTTGGAACCTTTTTATACCAAAAATATTTAGAAAGACACCAAGGAGGTAGATTCTTTCGTCCCAACTCAATGTGATCATTTCAGTGATGTCAGTTTAGCCATTATGGAGCATGTTTTGTCACTTGCAATATTTTCTCCCCTTGAACTTCTAGGACTTCTTTCTTCAGCCAGAAGCTTCTCCAGCAGCCATGGCAGAAGATGGTGGCTTACATAACCATCTCTGAAGATTATAACTCTGGGAGAATGGAAAGTGTAGTTATTAAAAATGACAGTGGCTGAAAGTGAGCATTCATTGTTTTTAATTGTGAAATTAAACACATGTTGTTCCCACAGGGTCAACCAGGACCAGTGGGTCCCCAGGGGTACAATGGGCCACCAGGGTTACAAGGGTTCCCGGGACTACAAGGCCGCAAAGGTGACAAGGGCGAACGGGGAGCTCCTGGGACTACAGGACCAAAAGGAGATGTGGTACAGGATCTTGCTTTCATCCTCTGCCTTTTGGGGAGGAGGGGGTGCAGGGTGTTTTGGCCTTCGTTAACTTGTCCTCCTTCTTCACAGGGAGCAAGAGGAGTTTCTGGATTTCCTGGTGCTGATGGAATTCCTGTAAGTGCTTTAGAAGTTCAGAACTTTAAAACTTTGCGTGCATTCTGGGCCATGCATTTATGACTTAAAGAAACATTTTGAACGAGACCTCCTTTTTTGTTTACAACATAAAGCATCGGGGGGGGGTGCTTTCTGTGCATATTTTTCTACTGGAATCCAGTCAAACATTGGACCAAGTATATCCTTTATAAACTTTCATATAGACTTGGCCTTAGAATTGAGGCTGCTTTGTTAAAACCGGACATTGTTTTGTCCTAAAAAGCTAGAGTACACTTCAGAGGTGCTCAGTAAAGAACCCATCTTGGGATTTTGTTTGAACCATTGAATGATCTGAATATAAAGTGACCTGGTGAGTATGGACAGAGCTCAGCACAGCTGAGCGTCTGTGCAGCTTCTCAGATTCTTTGTATAAACCACACATAAAATGAGCAAAAGGAAAGGCATGGTTTGTCCATGAGAAAAATCTCAAAATGCAATAAAATGTGTTTTTATAACCTAGTTTACTTTACTTCTTGTGGCATAAAAAAATAAACAAAGCAGCCTGACTCAGAGCTTTCTTTACGGGGACCCTCCAGCAGATTTCCCAGGGCTGGCTTCCTGGCCAGATCTGACCTCAGAGACACAAATGTGTTTATCGCATTTCCTGAAGCATCTCCCTTCGTCTGCTGCTGGGGTTCTCTAACATGCTTCAGGATGCTCACACAGATGCCTGGCTGTGCACCTAACCTGTGCACACATCTTCTCTACAGCCATGCACACACTCATGCACACATGTGTGCACACACACACACACATACACAGGCACACGGCGGAGAGAGAGGTCCCCAGCAGCACAAGCAGGGCTGTTATCAGGGAGGAAGGGAATAAGAGGACAGCTGACACAGGAGTTCATGCTTTCCCTTCAGATCATTAGCCCCATGTTCAAGGAGGCTTTGTGAGAGTAGAAGGAAGCAGGGTGAAACAAAGGAGATCACATTTACCAAGACAAGAGATCTACATAGCCAGGTCTTCAGCCCACATGCACAGTAGGCACAGGCAGACTCGATTATACCGCACAACCAAGAGCAAGAAGAACTAACTGCCTCATTAGTCAGGACCTTGAGAATGGGCCAAATAGAGAATTCAGACATTTCTAAGAATACACAAATAATGAGAGAATTCTCCTACAAACGGCCTAAAACGCCCATTTTTAAGCTACTTTTTTTTTGACTCTTTGCACTGTCCATTGGTTTTGTTTAGGGAGTTTGTAACCCAAGTTTAGGATGGAGTGATATTATGGGAACAATGGAAACTGATCTGTCTCGTGTTCTCACTTATGTCTCTTCTACGTGCTTGTTTCATATCAGAAGCAAACAGTTCACAAGTTAGGGAGGAAGTAATCACCAAGTGGGAACAGATCTTCCCACAGGATCTTGGGGCTGCTCAGAGACAGTCCTTAACCACAGATCTAGGACAGTACAAATTAACCCAAATGTCACCTGTCATAACTCATCAACTCATGAATTTTGATTTTGAGGAACCTGCATAATTTTAGCTATTTAGAAGCTGAATAAAATAATGTGCACTAAAGCCTAGAGTTGCGCCATGTAGAATGAGTCGAATGAGATGGTGAGCAGTGAAGGGTGAATGTGCAGCTCAATATAGTTTAGATGTTTCTTTGAAGCACAATTTCAAGCTAAGATCAGGAAGAGATTGGCATGTAATTCCAAATGACACAGTTCAGTTCTCCAACAGAAAGCCAACAGCAAAAAAAGACAAAGAACTCCGTGGTACATTTTAGGCAAAAGCATAGGTATGGCAGAGCTTGTCAAGCACATTTAACAGGCCAGCTTTTAGAGGGCCCACGTGGCTTTATTTTGAAGGGCCAGTTCAACTAACAACAGGTGGAAAGGTGTGGATGGAATTATGGGAGCAGTGTGGATTTCTGTGACTCACCAGATTTGATTGCCAACAGCACCAGGTCAAAGCAATGACTTCAGACATCCAAAGCAAAGAGAAGCACAAAGAAAAGAAGCAATTCTACTTCTCTCTTTATTTCTTAATTACTCCGTTCCTGGATCTTGAAATTTTCCAAATTTCCCAAAGTAAATTTAAAAAAGATGTGCTAATTAATGGTCTTAAGAATCATGCTGGAATGTGTTTACTTTATTAGCAAGAAACTCAATGTTTAAAGGGAATTGCAAACTAACAAATCATATGCCTAAGTATGTATTGCTTAAGGAAATAGCAAAACAGGTCATGGTCACCTAGTGCATCAGTGGATTTTATTAACCCTGCCTCTGTGTCTGCCAGAAGCAGATTAATGCCATGGAGACACCCACAAGTGTAGCCACACCCCTCCAGTGGTTCAGCAGACATTTGGTCATGGGGCTTCCCCCCACTGACACCTTCCAACGCTGACATGCTTTATAGTCGTGTTTGAAATCTAAGAAGTGATCTCAAAGAGAGCAAATCGGGAAGTCCCTTCTTCTAAATATGGCCACATGAGGAGGGAACCATACGGGGCTGAGTAGCCAGTATTCGGAGTGCAGTCTCTAGCTCAGTGTCTAAGACTCAGGAAAGGTGTCTGTTGTCCCCAAGAAAGAGCAAGCTGTTTCTGGAGGCTTTGTAGATTTGTAGATTTGAAGATCCACCCGTTCCATCCCTACTAAAAGACAATCACCCAGTGAAGCAAGGCAGAAGAAACCCTGAGCCCCTTCCTACCAAAGCCCATGGGAAATGGAACTCTTCTCCTAGAATGTCGCCTTTTGTCTTCACTTATTTAATCTTTTATCCCTTCATCTGCCCATTTTTGAGCTTTTCCTTGGACTCATGCTAGGGACACGGCTTGTGAAAATATCTACAACTGTCTTATCTATCACATTACGTGTAAGCTAGCTAGATGCCATATGCAGGCTGGAAACTTTACACACTCTTCTCTTTCCAGGGACACCCAGGGCAAGGCGGGCCCAGAGGAAGGCCTGGCTATGACGGCTGCAACGGGACCAGGGGAGACGCAGGTCCCCAGGGGCCCTCCGGCTCTGGGGGCTTCCCCGGCTCTCCTGTGAGTATACACCCAGAACAGTTAGCTCAGCCTGGAGCCTGGGTGGTGGACACCTGTCAGGGCAAGTGGACAAAAGAGAACATAGCCTGGACTCCATCTCCCAGGCTCAGTCCAGGAGAGTCAGCTCAGACCTTCCGAGGAGCCAGCTTAGAGACACTGTAAGAATGGCAGCCAAATCCTGCCTAGTCACCAGCAAGGCAGGTTCCAAGCCTGGTCCTTGGTGCCTGGAGACCCTCTCCCGCTCTCTCCTTATGGCCAGAAAGAAGAGGCACCCCTGCCCAGGTTTCCTTACAGTTTCCATGGCGTGATTGTTGGATTCAAGCAACTTCGTTGTCTGTATTCTCCGTTAAATGTTAGATAGAAGATAATGGGCGCGCTGTTGTGCCCACAGTCTTCCTAGATCAGTTCACTTTCCCCACATTCCAACTCAAAGAGCAGTGACTAGCAGTGTACAAGTGAAACCAAAGCCACACGAGAAGCTTAAATCCTGACAATTCTCTGTCACCATCTTTGTCAGACTATATGATGCTTTGTAACACAAAGCATACACAGTGTGGCAAGTGCACACTGAAGTCCGTTTCAATAGGGAGACTTGCATATATATGCTTGTCTGTTCTGTGGCCTCACTTATTTTTTCAGATCTTTGCAAAGAATCCAGAAATACTTTTTCAGTAGTACCTGCTTTCTGCGAAAATCTTGCAGTTTCAGCATTATACTAGAAAACTTTTGTTATTTTTTTTTTTTTGGTAAAATATTTAAAGGTAGGAAGAAGTCAGGAACAAGCTTTACCCATTTTCATCCTGAAGTGAGTCAGTCTGTCCAGTAACTGAACAGCACTTCCACCCATCAGTCCTCTCTTACAGGCCACTTCTTTTCTGTGTGCTCCAACTTTACAGAAAATGACATCATTTTCCCTTCTGTTCTATCACGTACTTCATAACCAAGAAACACCCTACTTTGAAATACTGACTGTGTGTGTGGGTATTACGAGGTATCTATACACACATATGCTTACACGTACTGTCTGTGTGTGACATAATTCCAGTTTTAATGACCCAGTTTCTCTCTTACAAATGGGTCTTAAGAGTCTTTGTGTAAGGTTGGAGATGTAGTTCAGTGGTAGAGCACTTGCCTAGGATGCACAGGGCCCTAAGTTCAATCCCCAGCACCAGCAAAAATGTTTTTAGTTACATTATATAAAAGAGTCTGTGTGTTAGTATCGTGAACACTCTAATGTCAAAGAAAGCATACAGTATGATTACAAGTGAAAACCACACAACGGTTTCTTAGAGGATGAGTTTAGGGAGAATTTATTTGAGGTTTTGCAATTAAGTTAAACTCTATATAAAGTGTTTCCTTTAACTCTGAGGGTGAGTAATGTTGGGTAAATGTGAAGTTAAAGTTTCAGTCTGTTTGAACATAGGGTTGGTGTAGGATAACCTGAGTGGGCCACAGGAACAGTGGGCAATGCCTACAAAAGCCAGTTCTTAGTCATCCAAACTACCACGGCTGCACTGAGGGCTGACTGACACTTTCCTGTTCTTCTTTTCACGGTGCTCTGCTGACTTAGGGGCCCCAAGGACCCAAAGGGCAGAAAGGTGAACCTTATGCATTGTCTGAAGAGGACCGTGACAAATACAGGGTATGTTGACTGTAGGCGGAAGGCAGAATTAAGCAATCCTGTGTACGTACTCAACAAAGGTAACTGTGATGCGAACTTTGAGAATAAGAATGAATGCAAGCCGGGCACAGTGCTACAAACCTATAATCCCAGCACTTGGGAGGTGAAGGTAGGAGGACTGTGAACCTGGACTACAGAGGAAGACCCCATTTCCAAAAAAAAAAGAATGTAATGAAGAAATTCATAGATTAATGGAATAATCCAAAATTGTGATTAATCTATAAATCAATCTCATTTCTGTTTGGGATGTTTTCAATCTTACACTAACTGGGGGCAGCCCCATCCCATGCTCTCAATCCTTGAAGCCAAGTTCTAGGTAACTAGTGTCACCGAGGCTTGACAGAGTGATGTATTTCATATGCTACTTCCAGCTCTGCTTGTTATAAAACATAGCTAATCTAAAGATGCTTAAAAGTGGTAACTCTTGACGACTGTTTCCCTCACTCAGGGTGAAACTGGGGAACCTGGATTGGTTGGTTTCCAGGTAAGTCATACTTTTATTAGGGAATATTCCAAGCAAACTTGAAATGCCAGTCTGCCTGAACTCAGAACATGCTTTCTCTGCCTGTCCACAGGGGCCTCCTGGCCGCCCTGGGCCTGTAGGACCGATGGGTCCCGTTGGAGCCCCAGGAAGACCAGTAAGTACCTGTGTCCCCGCTTACTCCCAGGCCCTGGTTAGGCCACCTTGTAGATGCTTCAGTTTCAACTGTCAAATGCAGCCAAAAGTTCCACAGAACAGCTGTGATGAGTGGTCCTTGTGGAGAGCACTGAGACACAACAGGCCTGCCTTTGCATATAATTTTGCTGCTGTTAAAACTGAAGAAGAAGGGTTCAAAACTGGTGGTCACCAGCACACTGCAAACCAAGACAAATTTGGATTTCGTTCTGGCCCTTCAAGTCATGCCTCAACTCTCCCGCCCCATACTTACCCTCACGATGAAAGGCCTGTCATCCCTGGCAAAGCATAACGAAGTCCCATAGGCCACAGAGAGGAAATGAGCCATGCCTTTTGCAGCAAGTGCATCCCACCTGGGCCGTGGTTATGATAGCAGATGAGGTGTTGGACATTGTTTAGCACAATGGCCCTCGTGCCTCTCTGAGGGTCACAGTTACTCTCTCTTGCTGCCAATCCAATGATAGAGGGAGGTGTGGCAAGGCACACACTGGATGGAGACAGGCTTGCTCAGGAAAGATGAGAGAAGTTTTCACAACTGCTCATGCAGCCCCCAGCCCCTTCTGCCACTGTGTCTTGGCCACCAGGAGGTTTCTCATTCATCCTCCAAATTCTCTAGCAGTGAGACAGATAGGCCTTACATGACACGGGGGGAGATTTGGGCTCCAGGTGAGAGAGCTCTCAGAAAACCATCACTCAGGCCTGAGACAATGCTATAAAGATGCACTGAAGTCCGTTTCCTGACAGATCCTGGGAGAAAGTGAAGCAGGGGTGTTCGGGGAGTTTGTCTTGCTAACATTCACGTTTTCCTGCAGGCTGTGTCAGTAAATCATAGCTTTTGTTTTCACAAAGCCAGTTTCCCTGGTGCTAGGGAAACCATTTTTGCAAGCAGGCCTCTGTCAGGCCTTGAAAGATTCAGTCAAATGGAACGAAGCGAGGATTGTCTGCTGAGACATTATTTACTCTTTCACTGTGCATGGTTGCTGGCTTACTCACAGCACACAGACTGTGTAGTTTAGGGGTTTTATTCTTTAAATACAGTTCAGAGAAATCTGAGGGCCAGGTCTGTGTCCACTGAACTGACAGCTTCAGATCTTCATATGTGCCATGAAAATCATCCATGGTCCCCACCTACCCAGGCCTTGGCATCCACTTCTTTGTGTTTAAACACCCTTCTAATGTATTTTAAAGGCTTTTATTCTTAGATGGATGCTGACGCTGAGTGCTTACAGAAAGACACACAGTGGCACTTGCAGTTAGACCTACAGCGTGAGGTACAAGCCTGTAGGTTTATTCTGTCCGTGAGCATTTGCTGATCCATCACCAAAATGTGCTACAGTGTCTTGTGAGGGCTGCAGTCACAGGGCCTCACAGAGAAACAGAACAACAAGGAAACAGGTGAAGACAAAAGCCCAAATGCACAAAAGCAAACCTAGAACAGCTGTGTGACAGTGGCATTTCAGAGAACTGGTGACCCATCCTTCTTCTCAGAGGGATCACTCACTGAGACAGATGTGGGAACCACTCAGCATGCCGAGTGGTTTTCTAAGTGCACAGTAAATGGCCTCCCCAGGGTCTCCTAGCAGGTGTCATCTGGGCCCTGAAATAAAGAAAACAGTTCTCAAGTGTCTTTGTATTTCTTCAGGGACCACCCGGACCCCCTGGACCAAAAGGACAGCCGGTAAGATGAGGGTAAGGGGAGGAATAGGGTTGTGTGTGTGTGTGTGTGTGTGTTTTGACTAGAGAACAACTTGGTAAACAACTATTTATTGCTTGTATCATGACGGGAACCATTTTGCAGGTTTTTTAAAAGTCTCGGCTTTCAAGGGCAAATCCCATTTGTGGCCCAGGCCATTTAAGTGAAGACGTCAAATAGTTTGTGGTTTGTCGATCAGTTAGCACATTCTTGTTGCTATATGAAAATCACACTAATGAACATTTAATAGAAAACGTAGAGTAGACCATCATAGGGACAGCAGATACCTATCTATAGGTGCAAGTGACCAGGAGCGACAGGCTGTGACTGGACTTGCTGTAGGACAAAGGATGCTTACTTTTCCTGGGTGTAATGTCTGAGTTCTGTCTGAGACTAGATTGAGCCCTAGGAATGTACTCAGTGCTGCTCAGGTCAGGCAGAGCCCAAAGCCAGGCTATTCCCATCAGAGTGATTTTCCCATCAGAGGGGGATTATGAAGCACAAGTAGGTGGTTTGTTGGAACAGAGCTGGGAACATGGGTAAACGTCCAAACTGAGTAATGTTGATGAGGAAAATGTGTGATCAAACTCAGCATGTCAGACACACCAGGGTGCAGGGGCAAACATCTAAGCTCCGCCCCCATACAAATGTGTGCCCTTCCCACACTCCGGTTCCTACATCTGCTCCACATGAAGTCCCATTTCCTGACCCTTGGCAGTCATGGCTACCACCCACCCCCAAGCCCCCAGTCTCCCATCCCCTCCATCAGGGCTCAGGCTGGAACTGGAGCTGGTGAAGCTGTTGGAGTCCCCCGACACCCAGCAGCCTTGAGCAGGGTAGGAAGGCCCCAGGCCAAGAGCAGCGGAAGCCAGCGGGGCAGCCAGGCTCAGGAAGCAGTGGCCAAGACCCAGCTCGGGAGCAAGCATCAGATCTCCACGGGCTGCAAACAGCCCTGCTCACCCCTGACCAAGCCACTTCCTGGTGACTTTGACAAGCATCTCATGAGGCAGAGAGGGTCATAGGGGATGCAAATGACCTTATAATCTAGCCTGGTTGTGTTTCTGTGCTTTGATTTTAACTCCCAACTAGTCAGCAAAAAGAAAAGGCAAAAATTAATTAAAAGCCTTGTTTTTATTTTCAGAAAATATCCAGGCATCGAAGGGGCAGACAGTATACCGCAGAGAGAAAGATTGGAAAAACCCCTCCCATGACTTTTTCTCACTGTGGGAATACAGAGACACTTGGAAAGCAGCACAGCTGTTTGGAAGTAAAAGGAAGGCGTGCTGTGTCTGTAATGCACATGAACTTGTGGGCCCTTCGTAGAACAGTTAAATAAATACTGGCTAAGACACAAGGCCTGACTTTGCTTCTTAGGCAAAAGTTGTTTGAAAAGTTCAGATAAAACCCCAAGAATCACCTAAATCATGGAACCTGATTCATTTTAAATACCTTAAAAATCATTTGAAAGATAGGAGGTGTTTGTATGAAATTAGGGTGACTTTACCAAAATGAGAAAAAAGGAAGATAAATTGTGATCTTCAAATATGGATTCTAGGGAATGACTGCTTTCTGAAAAGGTCCAGAACCCAAAGAAATGCTCTTTGACCCCACTTTGGAGAGCAGAATGCAGATTCATAGGACAGGGTCACTCCCAGCTTCCCTCCCCCAGTGGAGGCCTTGGTCAGAGGACCTCACAAGGAGTCCACTAGCTCCAGAGCTAGTGCACCATGCAGTTCTCAGTAGTGCTGCACATAAGGAGGCTGAGGGCTCTTTTTTCTAAAAGCATGACTGTATTTCACCGTGATTATTGACTTTTAAGGACTCACAGAAGCCACTTATCTTTTCAGGGCAACCGAGGACTTGGTTTTTATGGAGAAAAGGGTGAAAAGGTAGGAAACCTGGTGGGTTGGAGCACTGTACAGCAATCAGGAATACAGCATTGCAGTCGCCAAGGTCTACATGGTTATCTTGACTGTTCACATAGGGAAATAATCATTGTCATGTGCCAGGTTCTTAACCACACTCTACTGATAGTTATGGACCAGTAAGACAAGAATGTGAACTGTCTGGGTTGTTAGCCTAGACCTTTGATGAGGAAGTGTAGCTCCAGCCCATCTATCACTGGGAAGGAAGGGAATTTCCCCAAGGGTGGTCTTCTAATGCCTGGGACCTGGGGATGACTGAGGAGACCCAGCCAAGAGCGAAAGGTTGAAATGGAGTCAACAAGGGGCCAGGTGTTAGGGCCACAGTGGCTGGGCTCAAAGGCAGGAATGAGGACCGTGTGACTCTTATCATCCCTGGCAGTGCTAAGAGGCAAAGACCTTGTGGCCTGTAAGTGGAACATGGCACCCACACCCAGTGAGGCAACCTCATCAGCACAGTCACGTTGACTTGATATGACCTGCCTACTCCCCATGCAATAGACCTGTCCCCTTGTCCTCACTATGTGAGCACTGTCCCTGCATTTCTATTCTGATTCCTGATTGCAAGGCACACTACATGGAATTGAGTACTGCCCAGACAGGAAAGGTGTTCTTTGCATTAATATCATAGAAGAAATCACAAAAGAGAAAGAAACATTCAAGATCCAAATTTAAAGCCTCCCACAGTGAAATACACCAAAATGGTAAAAGAAAAGGAGAAAAATCTGGAAAGAAACCATTGATGGAGGGGGTGTCACACTGGGTACAGTGGAACTGAAGTTAATACAGTTCACAAAGAGCTTGTTCAGGTTATTTATGGAAACCTGCAAGGTCCTGGTAGGTGCTAGGGAGGTGAACAGTTTCAGGTAGTCTTAGAGTGCTTCGAGGGCACTCAAGATACACTGATGCGATGCTTTCAGCAGCTCATACAGCATCTCAGTTTGTGACTGTTCCTGTTAAGTGGTAGCTGGGCTCAAACTTGTATTATGTCTTTTCTATGTGGAAATAGCAAAAGAAGAGACAGTAGTTTTGTTTCTGTGTCAATTCAATTCTGCGAGGTGAAGTCAGAAAGTAATGAGGCTGGCTGCCCCGTGGTGTTGCAGAGGAGGGTCTCACCATCTGTGCTCCTCAGGGAACAGTGTCCCCTGCTAATGAGAGAAATGAAATTAAAGCAATCTTAAGATACGATCTTTATTTGAGACACTGCTTTTTATTGTATAAAAAGCCCTTTATCTGGTGATGTAGTGGTGAAACTGGAGTAGCCTTTCGTTTCATAGACATTTCTTATACTCTGGCCAGTCTTGGCAGGCAGTAGAGTGGTTTATAAGACATTTAGCTTCAGAGCTGATAGTTTCCTTATATAGAAATTCATCACAGGGAGATAATTTCATGGAAACAACTGCCAGCAAAAATTGTTAACATTCCGAGTGCCTGTGTCACGTGCATTCTAGAGCATTACTAGGAAAAGCAGGATTCAAAGATTTTACGATTATTTTGATTATTGGAATACAAGATGTGTATACACGTGGTAATGTGCAGAATTGAAATAGCCGTTCTGTAATGGGATCGTGCCATTATCTGATTCTTGCAATTTAAAATGTTTGCTTTTGCTAAACAATCCACAGGGAGACGTAGGACTGCCGGGACCCAATGGGATTCCATCAGACACCACTCTCATCGGGCCCACCATGACGACATACCACCCTGATCTGTACAAGGTACAGAGAGTGACTTGTGCAGAAAACACAAGAGGGCCCTCTCAGTACCCTCGGTGCTTCCAGGCATCTGCAGGGGTCATGATGAGATAGGTTCACCAGTCCATCCTCTTAAACACTTGTGATGAATTCAAAGCAATGTAAGATCTATGAAAAAGCACCCAGGTCTGTTCTGCACTAGGAGAGTCTCCAGTGCCGGGGTAGGTTGACAGTCATGGCATAATTCAAAGCCAGGAACACAGGACCATCTGAACAAAATGTATTCAGAAAAGGTAGACCTATTTTTCTCCTTTGCTAACACAAAGCACCTTTTCTTTCTAATCAAGGTCGATCTTCTGATGCTTTCCTTATATTTCTCTTAATGTCTTGTGTAATTAAAAATGCACTCTGTAGTCCCAGCTCCTCAGGAGGCTGAGATGGGAGGGTTGATTAAGCACACGGGACCAGCCTGGGCAACATAGGGAAAGCCCATCTTGAAATAATTAGATAAATAAATTAGATGATATAATATAATCAATATGATATTAGCCACTCTGGGGCTGAAGTAGACGTACTGCCCTCCCTGGGATTGAGAGCGGGTCTGTGGCCTTGTGGCTCAGGCAGAACAGCTCTCTCCAAGCCTTCCTGAGTCAGCGGAGATCATTATACCAGCTTCTCAGAGCTATGGAGAAATTCTGGGGGCCATGTGTGAAGGGCTCAGCATTGTGTTGGCACATATAATAACATGGGCATGAAATAAAAACCCCAAACTCCTAACAGAATATAGTCCCCACCTGCCATCATGGGGGTTGGGTCCTCAGTCATGGGTGGGATTGGTGGACAGGGCTCCAGCCTTAGGGCAGTTGTGACCTGAGTTACATGTGACTATTGACAAACATGGCCTGAAGGTGGCAGGCAAGGACTCTTTCCTATCAGGCCAGCAGCCCGAGGGTGGAGGGACCAAGGCAGGTTTGCTTCATGCTGAAATCCTCAAACTTCCACCTAAGACTTCCTTTCCTTTCTGCCACCAAGTTGGCGATGGGTTCTCAGCCAGCCTGCAGGGGCAGTCATGAACCACACGATCCCAAGTACTGTCAGGAGAAGCAGAGACCAAGGAGCTTGCCAGTCAAAAAATAGAAGAAACAAAATTACCATTGTTTCTCAAGCCATTTTGCTTGAGACGTTAATGTTCCAAATGCAAGGACTTCCTAGTAATATTTTATTCAAATGACTAAGACCATCAGGTGCCCTTCCTGGGCATGTCCTCCCACTGTGGGAGGGGCTGACATTGGGAGATGGCATCCACCTGGAGCTGATAGGGGCCTGTAACTGGTAGGTGACAAAGGCACCTGCACAGGTGAAGAAAGACTTCGGAGAACCAACATGATTTCACTTATCCTGTGAAATTCTCAAGAAATAGCATGGGTTTTTTTCACTTCAATTTTGAATTTGCAAAATGTGGGAGCACATGGTTGCAATTATTAATAAGGATTATTTAGAGGTTTGCTAAATAATCATATCATAAACCCTGACTGATTTTTAAAGGTTGCTATTCTGAAATTAATGAGGGTCTCTTAACTTTGCATATTCTTCACAGGGTGAAAAGGGGAGCGAGGGAGAGCCGGGGACACAGGTAAGAAACGACAAAGTCGCCTCTCCACACACATAGCTGCTCAGTTCGTGGGGCTCTTATTGGAATGGCAGCTTGGGCCAAGCCACATGCTCGTGGTCTCTCATGTACCTTCTAAGCAAGGACGTTTGATTGTTTATACTTTTTTCAGAAAACAGTTTTAGAATGTCCTCCTTTTACATAATGAACACTGGCTAGTCAACATTTTCTGGTTGCAAAATGGACCTGATGGTGTGTGAGTGTTGGGCTGGGGAGGGTGATGAGCTGGCCTCTGTTCTGGGATGAGGGGTCGCTCTGCCCTCTTGTTCATCCCATCCAGCTCATGGCGTGTGGATAGAAGTAATCCAGGCACACTGTGAACTTTCTTGGCACCCACGTGACCCTGTGTTGGCATGGTGTCACCTGGGAGGGGAGCCCTGGAGCTGGGAAGGCTGCCGTGTCAAGGCAGTGGCTCCAGGGCGCTGCTCACATTCTCTTCCGTCTCTTCTAGGGCATTTCCGTGAAGGGCGAGGAAGGAGTCATGGGTTTTCCAGGAGCTCGGGTGAGCTGTGGTTGTTTGTTTGGTTTGGTTTTGCTTTTGAACGGACTTTCTTTTCTTTCGAGCGGTTTTAAGTTTGCAGTAAAATAGAGCAGAAATTAGAGATTTCCCATTGCCTTCTAACCCCTTCCCATGTTCACACGGTGCTGCAGTGAACGTGCATGGACCTCCCATTTTCACCTGACACTGACTTTTTTTTTAAAAGCAGTACACATGCACTTCGAGGACAAGAAGGGACAAAACTCAAGACTTTCCTGCTGATGTTAGGCTCAGCTTGACTGAGGGAGAGTGTCTGGAACATGGGTTGATTTCTGATTGCTCCAGGAGTCTAACAAGAATGTTCTAGTGGGGTTCACTCCTGAAAGGCAAGTGCCACCTGCAGAACCCTGGCCTGAGCGCCACCTGCCACTTCTGCTCTCAGCCCTTGGCCAGGCCTAACCCAGGCTGGGAAATGTGGTCAGAGCCCTGAGCCCAGGATGAAGGAGTGTGAGTTTGGGTGACCATCTGGTAGTCACTACCACTAAAAATACATGGTTTGCAGTCTCCAAAATAATAAGCTATGAGCCTTTTTACATTTTTACCATACTGTCTTTGTGGGTTTCTCTTATTTCTTTCAGTGGTAAAAATGTACCATTGTTTGAAAGTGTCAGTAACATGACTTACTTCCTTCAGAAGATACAAGTCTCTGTGTGGTTTTGATGAGTCTCATGGGAAAGGTGGCTTTGCTCTTCTGAGGGATGGCTTTCTTCCTTTTTGTCTTTTTACCATAGTTATACCTTTGTACACTCCTTTCCAAAAGGGGAGAATGTGTTCCGTGGTCTGTACATGGGGCCAAGGCTGGCCTCTGGTTGCCACTCTGCAACCAGAGAAGGCTACTTTGGTTCTTGTCACTACCACAACGCAGCCCTCTGGAAACTCGCTGCATGTTCTGAGCTGTTCATTGCTTCTATTTTCTATTCAATCCAGGGTCTTCCTGGCCTTGATGGAGAAAAAGGATCCCTAGGACAGAAGGTAGGTGTATGGCATAGAATGAAGTCTATTCCGGCCTAAGACTTCTTCCAGAGTCTTGCAGATAAGCAGTGCTATCACAAAAAGGGAATATTACTCCCCAGAAGATAAAAAAACTTTAAGACCTTCCTGCATTTACAGGAACATAAAAAATCCAGACTCTTCACAACCCTTACAGATCACTCACCTTTGCAAACAGTCTGTTAGTCTCTCAACCATTCCCTCCTTAAGTCTCCATCACTCAGCCCCTGCCTGGGACTCCACACCACTGTGTCATCTTTGTCACGCCTAGCAAGGTTGTCAACTTTTGGTGACTGAGGTTCCACCCCTGTTTTTTAAAGCTTGGTAAACACTAGGACACATTATATTCAGCGATGACCTAGTTTGTTATCTATGTTCTCAGGACATTTTTAAAAGAAAACTCATCATGAATCTGCATCAGATTTAAAATTATCTAAACATGGCATCCTGCAAGAAAGTACACATCATTTTTTAATCAATGATTTATTTCTTTTCAATATTCATTGTATTCACAAGGTCAGTCAGTGATCTCATGGTGGACAGGCCTTGGGGTACTGCAAAAGGTCAGTGTCAGCTCACAGGTGACGCATAGCTGTACATGCAAACGTTTAGCAATTAAAGGAGTAAACGTGTCCGCTCTTCTGCCCCATCTTATCTCTTATTACGGGAGATTGCTCCCCGTCAGTACACACACATCAGTCACAGTAGTACATAGACGGACCACATTCACTCACCGGGGAGTGGGACCTCATTTCCAGCCAACTTGCAGTCAGCATCATGGTGTGTGCATCCTGGTGCCTGTGGCTGGCACTGTCACTGCAAGCTCCCAGCAGGTGCACAGAAACCAGTTCAGCCTCAGAATCATAGCTCCCTTGAATCCTGCTCAGATTCCATAGCAAGTGGTCACATGACACTAGAGGACAGGGCGGCTGTGGAGAGCAGGCACTGGGATAGAGGAGTCCACCGTGCATATTGTGGAATGTCAGGTAAACTTGCCTCTTGGACGCTGTTTCTTACCTCCATGGGCTCCTGCCACGGGCTGCACTGTCCCAGGATCTTGGTATTGACCACTCATAGTTAAGAACAGTCCTAATTGCTCCCTGCAATCTTATTACTGTCCTTTTATCCTAAACTCAAGCCAGAGATCTGACTTGGGTCTTGCCCCACTGCCATCCACTCCCATCATAGTGGTTAGTGGTAGAAGTATCCGGTAAGATAGTACATTGGGGGAGCAGCTGTGCACACTGCACCCAACCTAAGGTGAGATGGTCACGTTCTAGCTGAAGGATGACAATAAGCAGATGTTGGAAAGAGACAGAGGGCTAACATAGATATTCATATCCAAAAGTCGTGTTCCCACCCACCCATGTAATTAAAGTGCTACTGCTCCAGTTTGACTGCCTGTGACGGGCTAGTGACATTGTAGTTATTTTAGTTCCTCTATGCCCAACACAAAGGAATTACAGTGTTTAAAAGTATGGTTCAACACAGCTGCCCCTGGACCCAGAAGGCCACAAATGACAGCAAGAGGCCCAGCAAGCCCTGGCCACCTGGTCTCCTGACTGCTGTGGCCCAGATGCGAGGATGACAGGGACACCCTGCAGTCATACAGCTTGGGAAGACACAGACGTCTGTGGTTAAGTGGGTTAGAGGAAATAGTTTACTGACTGTGGAAACGGAAATGGTAGGACATACACAAATGACTCAGGGTCCTGCACGTTAGTACAAACCATGCCGAAGTGTGTCTGCTCTACGTTAGCCAAGTAACCCAGCTGCTGTCCCCTTCCCATCTCCCCAACCCCAGCTAGCTTTCCAGTTGTGCTCACAGACTTTGGTCTTATGATATGAAATACAGCTAGACACCAAAAGCAGCAAGGAACAACTATGAACAGTAACCAACGTAAACAGTACGTCAAAGAGGGAGGAGCCAAGGAAGAAAACCCATCCTGGGAAAGATTTTACCTAATGTTACCTAAACACAGAATTCGCCCTCTGCGCGCACACACATGCACGCACATACACCCCACTGGAATTACCAGAATTCAGCTAGCTCTAAAAGGGAATGGAGGTATGTCTTATGGTTTTGGTTGTGTTAAATTTTCTTTAAAAAAAAATAGAGAATGTTCCCCTCCTTTTTCTAGGGAAGACATTTTTAGTAACTGAGTAAAGGTTTCTCGGCCTGGAATTATTGTCAGAAGTGTTCACAGAGACCTGATCTCATGAGCAGAGGACACCAATAACAGCTCTAGTGTAGTGTTGTTGGAGATCTTCTGCTCTTGGTAGGACCATCTGTGCCACATCACATCCCTTCGGACCCCAGAGAGGTTCCATCTACCATGACACAATAGCAAATAACGTGGACCGTTACCACATCATCAAGTGTATTGGTTACAGCTCAGTGACATGGTTACTGCTCAGGAGTGAACAGGGGACACTAATTGCACACTGGGTTCTTTTTTTTGAGGAGTACTGGGGTTTGAACTCAGGGCTTCATGCTTGCTAGGCAGGTGCTCGACCCCTTGAGCCACTCGGCCAATGCCACACTAGGTACTGAAACCTTGCTGACTGCAGTTTCTCCTGCACTTCACTTCTTCCCTCTCCAAGCTGGCAGAGCTTCTCTGAGGAAACTCTCTGGGATGTCTCTCCCACGAGGGCCCTGAGTTCTGCTCCACCTAACTCATGCCCTGAGGTCCACAGAGATGAGAAAGGACCAGACACCAGAAACTGGAGAGAGTCATGTTCAGACAACCCAAGACAGTAACCTGCCCACAAGTGCTTGGAAAGTAGAGCCTTCTCTAGAAGAGTCCGAGCATAAACTTTTTAACATCATGCTCTTGCCAGCTCCTGGGGACTTCACCTAGTGACTTTCCTGAGCCTCATTTGGGTTATTTCTACCCTCAAAAAACCAGAAAATTGACTGCCTATGAATCTTGAGCTCCACCTAGTGTGAGAATAGAATGAGTCCCGGTGTCAACCACAGGCCCAGTACAGAAACGGTTCAGCCAGTCTGAAGGCTCATCCAGCATGTGGTTTTCAGCATACGAGCTCCTGGATTTCAAATATCATGAAACAGTCAAATAATGCACACTGCTGTAGCAGCAGCCTGGGACCTCCTGGGTTGGGGGTGGGGGGCTATACCTCACATGGCCTTTGACAAAAAAGGACAAAAGTCTAGACTTTACGAAGCTTTGCCTGGCTGTCCAGACACCTGGTGATGTGACTCATGGAGACGAGCTTCTTCAGTAAGTGTTCAAAGAAACTTGGAAACAAAATTAGTCTTACAGACTTTTTTTAAATGAAGAGAAAAATTCTAAATTACGAGGATTTAGGTCTGGTGGAGTGGCTCAAGTGATAAGAGTGTCTGCATAGCAAGCATAAGGCCCTGAGTTCAAACCCCAGTAATACAAAAAAAAAAAAAAATGGGGCTAGTGAACTGGCTCAAGTGGTAAGAGCACCTACCTAGCAAGCCCGAGGCCCTGAGTTCAAACACCAGTGCCACCCCCCAAAATATAGGCTTTAATATTTCTATTTGGTGTCAATTGAAACTTTTCAAAATCCATCTTGGGGGAAGATTTTAGCAGATGGATCATGTGTCAATCACAAAAGCAGGGATATTGGGGCAGCCTAGAATGACCTATAAGGAAGTGCCAGCCTCCTCCATGAGCAACTCGTGGGCCTCACATAGCCTCCAGCCTCCACATTGACTAATGTGGAGAAAACTCAGGAACAAAGACAAACATCACACAGATCCACAGAGACAAAGTGGATCAAATCCACACAGAGGGCTGGGTTTTCTCAAAACACCCACCACCGAAAAGATCCTAAAAACAAAAACAAAAGGAAGAAGCCATTGTGAGAAAGGAGACCTGAGAGACATAGGAGGTAAATGCTGTATGTGACTCCTGGCTCAAGCAAAGCAACTTTAAACAACACCTTTTTGAGTCAGGGGAAACCGACATACACTGGGAAGTCAGGGATTTTAATGACCTATCAGTCGGATGTGCGATATGGTGTTGTGTCACTTTGTAAAGTTCTATGTTAAGAGATGAAAGTAAACAACAAACGTCTCTTTTGCAGGGAAGCAGAGGCCTGGATGGTTTCCAAGGCCCCGGGGGACCAAGAGGACCCAAGGTGATTCCTTGTTTCATGTCTCTCCTTCTGATGGTGTCCTGCTCACCCCAGTGAAGAAGGAGGCAGCTCCACCCCATGTAGTACAAGCTGACCAAGCACATGGACCCTAGTTCTGAACACACAATATGGAAGTAGTTTATCGGTCACCTGTACTGCCCAGCTGAGGAGGATGCCGTGAGCCATGCCAGGCTGCCCGGGCTGTACTTGGGCCTGCCCCTGAGCAGAGTGGACCGGCATGGCTACAGGAGTCAGGCTTTGTAGTCACAAAATGAGGAGTGCACCCAGTCCCCAAGAAAGGACAGGACTCGTGTGACTAATTGTGTGGGCTTTCAGGGAGGTGATCCCCTTTGGCGAAGGATTGTGGGATGAGCCAGTCCAGTTGACAGGGAACACAGCCTGGTGGGTGGAATGTCACTCTGGGGAATATCCTGGAAGAGCAGGAGAGTTTGGGGTAGGCCTGGGGTCCCTGTGGGCCACAGATGTGCGGGCAGTCCTTGAGAGCATGTGTGTCTGGGAAGAGATGGTATCTCACCAGAGTGTCCTCACCTCCGCCTCTGGCTGCCCTTGTTGGATGGCTCGGACACCACGAAACACCATAATGGTCTGATCTTCAGAACACCCAATTCCCTGGACATTTGTGGTGTCCAGTAAGGATTTCACAATGAGATTGTCACATGCCAGGGTACTCTGTCTTGGTGTCTGGCTGGTGGCTGCAATGCTCAGCCTTCCCATTGCCACATGGTGGATATGGTCTGGATTGGTCAGATGGCTGATCTGCTACACCAGTATCTACATTCAGCTTTATTCTTTGGGAATTTGGAATATGATGAAAAACTCCAAAGGCTTTGTTCATGTTCTTCTGTCCCCAGGGAGAACCAGGGGAGCGGGGACCTCCAGGACCACCTGCCTACTCGCCTCACCCCTCCCTGGCAAAAGGTTGGTATAACTCCCCACGTGATATAGCCTCACACACACACCTTCTTCTGTGGACACAGGGGTGAACTTTCAAGATAAGTTTTCTAAGCAAAACAAAATAAAATGAAGGTGTTCAGCACCAAACCTTCAAGACTGCGTCTTGGCTCAAGGTGTCGTTCAAGACCATTGCTTTGGCTCTGCCTAGCAGAGCACTAAGTCCCGCCTAGTCAAGTCCCCAGGGAATTCCTCACTTGTATGGGGCCAGCCTTCTGTGCCTCGTGAAGCCTCCCAGAGATGTATCTCTGGTGGACTGGGAGCCATTCGTAAGCTTATCTTGAGATCTGTGCTGAGCATCCGTGATCCATCTTGTAAAACCAGTACTTCACTTCCCACCCGTGTGTGTGACGCATCTGCCAAGCCCAAAGCCCCACTGAGCAGGAACAGGAGGCTGCTGTGATGTGATTTAGGACTGGTTATCTTGGCAAAGTGGAAATACTGCCTTTGAGGCTTTGGGAGAGTAATTTTTAACTTAAAGTCCATGGCGTCTCTTTTGCATTTTTCAAAACACCACCAAGAGCCCAGGATTCATTTAGTCTTCTCTATTCCATCACTCTGTGTTCCCAGGCATCGTGCAGAAAGGTGGGTGCTTTTAAAATTCACCTTTCCCATGTGCAGATATAGAAATGCCATCATGCCCTCCCTGTCACTTGGTCACACTCCTGGCTGTTGGTGAGCTAGAATGTACCTGAGCTGCATTCCAGGGTTTCTTAGAATCAAAGGTTGGCTGCTAAAAGTTGCTAGATCTTTTATAAAGTAGCCATTTTGAACTTGGCAGAGTGCACAAAGGGGAGAAGAGTTTATAGTAAAAGCAATGATTGCAGAGTATCTAAATTCAAAGTACCTTGCTATTCTTCCAAACAAATGGTAAGGTCTGAGAGTTCAAATAGCACCTCCTCTCTCTTTAGCCACCATTTATGTAGTGTTTAGTGTATACCAGGTTGGAATTGCACCTGTCCCTTATATATTCATCCTACTATCCCTGTGAGGTGTGGATGATGGTGGGCCTGAGACAGAAACGGAACCACAGGGAAGTTGAGTGACTTGCCTGAGGTCCTGTGTGCACCAAATAGAGGAGCAAGATTCAGACTGGACCACAGTCAGCCTCCACCACTCAGTAAGGAGTCAGAACAGAGCCAGGACTTCAGTCTCTCACATTCACAACTCAAGTGTGATGCCCACAAATTCTCACCTTACTTTAAGGAATTGTTTTGATATGAAAAAGTTGAAGCTTATATAGAGTGATGGCTTTCCTATAAGCTACTTACTGATGGCCGTGTAACAAAACGTCCTATTTTCTTCTCTTGCCTCTCATCTTTCCTATTACGTTCCAGAAAGAGGTGCTAGCCAGTAGTGTGTTGCTACTTACACACAAAAAGAACACCACCATGTGACTTTGTGTTTGTTCATGTGGGGAGGAAAGCATAAGAGCCGTGTACTGTTATTTATCTGGCACTTGGTGTTGGAAGCCCAAAAGGGCAGGGAGCATGGCCTCCAGCCTCAGGATTTCTGATCCTGTCACTCCTGACCTGAAGGGAGCTTTGATCTCAGCTCCTTATTCTACCTGACTTCCCACAAATCCATCCCCTGTACCCTGCACTCCAGCCTAGTCCTCCCAGCCTAGTCCACTGGGCTGGACTCAGTCACTGTACTTTGTCCCCTCTGGATGCTCTTCCCTGGCTTGTAGCAGGGGCTGCAATGCTGTCTGTACATAGGAGATTGTGAAGTCAAATGCTTGGGAAGTATTCAGTGCTGATCCCCCTGTACACGGGAAGGTCTGGAAAGTAACAGTTTTATTATTGGTATAATTCCTCAATATTGCAATTCCTCAATCTTAGAGATTCCTTCAAAAAAATCTTACCTGCCTTTGCAAATTCTTTTTAGTTTCCGTGTCTTTATATTGTTTCACATTTATAGGAATCTTATATCATCCCTATTTAATTGGAATGAGAATACCGAAAACAGACCTTCTCCCTCCATCTTTTAAGCGCATCCCCCACACGCCACGCAGCGTGCAGAATATTAAGCATTCAGTGTAAAAGTGAGCGACTTCCGAGACCTGTGCAATGCAGCATTCTTAATCCCATGGTGGGACTTGTCTTGGTTCCAGGTGCCCGAGGTGACCCAGGATTCCCAGGAGCTCATGGGGAACCAGGATTCCGGGGGGAGCCAGGAGACCCTGGCCCCATAGGCCCCCCTGGCCTGTCCATTGGAGATGAAGGTAAGGGAGTTGGTCACATCAGGCCATATTGCTGGGGGGTGGGGGGGAGTGTCTTTTTTAAAGCCGATGATTGATGATGAAATATGCCACCCCTTATGTTGTCCTGGAACTGTGAATTCCCTGGTTCTGCCTATTGTCCCCTGTGGACGCGAACACCTGTGTGACCATTACATATCAAAAAGTCATGTTGCTGTGAATGCTGCTGCATTTCAGATGATAGGAGAGGCCTGCCTGGTGAGATGGGACCCAAAGGCTTCATTGGAGACCCAGGCCTTCCTGCACTCTACCCTGGCCCACCTGGAGAGCACGGAAAGCCAGGGCTCCAGGGAGCCCCCGGGATTGCCGGACCACCTGGACCAGATGGTGAGTGGAAGGCATGTGCCAGTGTTTAGATGGAGCCTGACCCGGCTAGGCTTTTTGGGATTTCTTTCTTTTTTGGCAGTACTGGGGTTTGAAGTCAGAGTCCCGCACTTGCTAGGCAGGAGCTCTACCATGTGGACCACATATCCTCAGCCCTTTTTTTTTTTTCATTTTTCTTTTATTATTCCTATGTGCATACAAGGCTTGGGTCATTTCTCCCCCCTGCCCCCACCCCCTCCCTTACCACCCACTCCACCCCCTCCCGCTCCCCCCCCTCAATACCCAGCAGAAACTATTTTGCCCTTATCTCTAATTTTGTTGTAGAGAGAGTATAAGCAATAACAGGAAGGAACAAGGGTTTTTGCTGGTTGAGATAAGGATAGCTATACAGGGCATTGACTCACATTGATTTCCTGTGCGTGGGTGTTACCTTCTAGGTTAATTCTTTTTAATCTAACCTTTTCTCTAGTTCCTGGTCCCCTTCTCCTATTGGCCTCAGTTGCTTTAAGGTATCTGCTTTAGTTTCTCTGCGTTAAGGGCAACAAATGCTAGCTAATTTTTAGGTGTCTTACCTATCCTCACCCTCCCTTGTGTGCTCTCGCTTTTATCATGTGCTCAAAGTCCAATCCCCTTGTTGTGTTTGCCCTTGATCTAATGTCCACATATGAGGGAGAACATACGATTTTTGGTCTTTTGGGCCAGGCTAACCTCACTCAGAATGATGTTCTCCAATTCCATCCATTTACCAGCGAATGATAACATTTCGTTCTTCTTCATGGCTGCATAAAATTCCATTGTGTATAGAGACCACATTTTCTTAATCCATTCGTCAGTGGTGGGGCATCTTGGCTGTTTCCATAACTTGGCTATTGTGGCTCTTTTTCGAATAGGGTCTACATCTTTGCCTGGGCCAGCCTGGACTGGCTTCCTATTTATGTCTTCCATATAATTGGGCAGGTGAGCACCACCACACCCAGTTTCATTGGCTGAGATGGGGTCTCACTAACTTTTTGCCTGGGCTGACGTCAAACTGCCATCCTGTCATCTCTGCCTCCCAAGAAGCTGGAATGACCTCTGTGAGCTATCTTGCCTGTCTTTTCTGCTAAATAATTCTGAGCTAATCCAGCAGGCCAGGGAATGAAGATAGGGTGGGCATGCCAAAGGCCACACAGGCTCCTGCACCGTGAGGGGTGGCTGCTGTGGCCTCAGGGAGCCGCTGAGGTGCTGTAAGGAGATGTGAGCTGAAATCACCATCCCAGTGTCTGTGTGATCAGTTCTGGGCACCTCCTCCTAGTGGGGCCCTCCTTGATTCATGGCCTCGTCTCCCCTGTTTCACCAACAACAGACAGGACCTGCCTTCTCAGCCATGACTGACAGGTGGTGATAGTTGGGGGCCAGAAGACGGGGCCATGTTATCTGCACAAACAACTGGCCCCTTCGGCCCAGGCCAGGCGAGACTAGGAGACCAGGAAAGTCTGTAAGGAGGGGACACGAGCAGGACCGTGCCGCTTCACAGTGCTCTAGAGCCACCAGGCATGGTGTCTTGGGTTGCCAGCGCTCTCAGCTGAGGAGGGGAAAATGTGTGCTGCAGCTTTGATCTGGCCATGCACAAGGGTATTCTTCAACTTCAGCACCTAGATACACTTCAGATGTCATGAAGTTCCTCACGGGGACATTTCATCCCCACAGGACGTTGGGTAAGGAGGCCCTGGAAGAAGATATGAGGTCATACCTTCTCTCTGTGCGACATTCGCCCAACTTTAGCAGTCTCTTCTTTTCAAATAGCTTAGTTCAGGACTGGAGCTGTCGCTCCAAGGGTAGAGCGCCTGCTTTGAGAGCATCTACTTTCCAAGCACAAAGCCCTGAGTTCAAACCCAGTCCCCCCCACACACACATACACACACTCACACAAAAATACACTCTAGAATAGTTGGCTTCAAATTTCCTGACATCACCTCCAGTAATCTCTTCTGGCTTCTTATCTTCAGAGAAAGAACATTCTATTTGCCATGGACAGTGTTTGATCGCAGTTGAATTTCAAACTTGAAGGTCAATGTTCTTATTGCATTTGGAAGATTCTTCTCTTTGCCACCTTTAGAGGGAAGATTATTGAAGATATTAGAAATGTATCTCTACATGCTTCTTTCACTCAAAAAAAATTACAAGTCAGTTGGGCAGTGGTGGCTCACCCTTGTAATCCTAGCTCCTTGGGAGGCTGATATCAGGAGGATAGAGGTTTGAGGCCAGCCTGGGCAAATAATTTGAAAGACCCCCATCTCTAAAATAACCAGAGCAAAATGGACTGGGGGTGTGGCTCAAGTGGTAGAGCACCTGCTGGGTAAGCATGAAGCTCTGAGTTCAAACCCCAGTCCCACCAAAAAGAAAATCACAAGTCACCCTTTCTGTTTCTATTTCATGTTCTACAGTAGACTTTTAACTCAACATGATCCTACTTTGCCAATTTCATTTCAACTGGAAAAATCGCAGATTCCCACATTCATTTGAAAAGTTTTGAGTGCAGGCATTTCCCTGGATTAGGAGTTTGCCAAGTGGTTTGAGCAGTGTTATCTTTGATATTTTCTATCAGCTGGAGGTCTGTTTATGTGTTAATGTGACATCTGTGGTAGTAGCTACAGTGCCACGAGCATTTCCTTTCCTGGGTTTTCCTTGTTCGGAACAGAACATGTGCTAAAAATAAAAGCATAAAAACATGCCACTGTGAGTGGAGACCTGCTTAGCCATTGTTCCTATTGCCGATTCCATTTTAGTAAAGACACAAGCACACGCTATGTTGATTTATAAATCTTGCTCAGTAAATCTGATTTACTGATGCACTAACATAAGTCAAGTGCAAACAAATTATTTCTCATCTGTATTGTAGACTGATGAGGGAAACTTATAAACTAGACAGAGGAGCATCAGATAAAAGTTTATCAACTGAAAACATTGGAAAGCACAGGACTTAAATACATGACTTTTCCCCTGTGAGACCACATTGTTTCCAAATCACCCCCAACCTCCCCCACCACCCCTGCACCCCACCCCCAGCTTTTTTTTAGCAACCTCTTACACAAAAAGTAGCCAGCCATAATGACCTTTTGAAAGTGTCTGCATATAGTTGTAATTTAGTTTCAGTGATCCTGATTCCCACAGAGTTGGACTTTTCCCCTGGAATGAAACTTAGATTCTTTCTCATAAAGTCATTTCACCCTGTTTTATATGTTGCTACTGATGAAAACCAGACTTTTAGTCTTTTGCAGTTCCAGTAAAAATCAAGCTGTGAAGTCAGTTTTCTTTCTGGGTGACATATTTTGCTTACCCCATTTTCAGTTCTGTTAGCCAAATCAAGGGTCAGGCTGCTCTGCTCTGGTTTAAATCAGAATGCCGCAAGATCTGTCACGACCATTGGCCAAAGTCTCCTGAGGACATCAGAGGTGCACTGCAGTCTGTCAGACTGGTTTGAAATCATGAATGAATCAAATAAAGGAAAACAACCTCAGATGAGGGAACGAGAGAAGGATGTCACCTTATCATAGAACATCCTTTTGCTTTCTTTTTCTTTTTATGGCAGTACTAAGATTTGAACTCCACCACTCGAGCCACTCCCCCAGCCCCTCATTGCTTTCTCCTAGCATAACTTTAAAAGGAACATTAGTTTGTTTAGTGTGTCAAATGCATCCCCACCTCTCAACTGTGAGCTCCCTAAGGGCCTGGTTCCCAGTGTGGACGCAGCCTGGCACAACTTAGATACTGGATCCTTTTTGGTGAGTAAATGAATGCACTTGCAGGAAATGTGTGATCAGATCAGATTACATGCGACGATATTCACGTACCTCTCCATCAGAATTTATCCTCCCGTGGGAGCTCTCTCACTCTCCAGGCCCACTACTCTCTCTCCAACCACTGAGTAAAAGTCCTTAAAATCTGTTTTCCTCGCCATCCACTTCCTGATGGGCTTGTTCCCTCCTCCCCTCCAGTACCATGCTGTGTTTGTGGCCACAAGCCTTCTGTCTTGTTTGGAGGAGTCCATTCATTCTTTGGAGCTATGACCACTGCTAGATTTAACAGTGCGGAGCAGAAGAGAAAGTAGTCAGGAGACATGGTCAATCCATGATGCCCAGCTCGGCTCACCTGGACATGCACAGCCCATGTCCACCATGAGGTGGCACTCTTTCCTTAGGCCCAGTGAGTTTCAGCAAGCATTAAAACAGTCAGAAGTCCCTGCTTGGGATTATTGGAGCACAGCACCAATAATGATCTTGAAGAACCCTGATCTTTGGGGCCAGGGGTGAAGAAGACTGAGAAGGTGCGGTCAAGGTTGTTCCTTGAGGTTGGCCACCCCTAATCCCAACTGGTCACTAGGGATCCATGTTACACTGAATGTGTGTATGTGTGCACAAGAAGGAGAAAGCGGAAGGTGGGGAAGAGTATAACCACACATGTGCTCCCACTGCAGAAAAATGAACAGAGGATAGCTGAGCTCATCTTAATTCTGGTTTTTTGGAGGGAGAATCAGAAATGCATAGTAGTCTTGAAAAACTAAAACCTTTCTTTGGACTTGCTTCTCAAAAGGAATGTTTTTTTATCTCTATACTTCAGTGGAAAAACTAAACTCACAGGCTCTGATGTTTCTTTCCCACCCTGGGGATGTTGCCACAGAGCCATCCGTGTTTCTGTGGTCACAGGTGTTGGAATGGACCTGAAGCCTCTGACCACTGGGGGAGACTTGGCTGAGAATCTGCCTTCTTGGGGTGCTGTGGTGTGGAGGCTGACATTCCTCTCCTGTGATTCTTTCTTTAGGTTTCCTGTTTGGCCTTAAAGGAGCAGAAGGAAGAGTGGGCTATCCTGGGCCATCTGGTTTCCCAGGGGCTCGAGGACAGAAAGGATGGAAAGGTAAGGAGCCACAACCTGACCTCTGACCTCTGAGTCTACCTGGGCTTGCTGACCCATCCCCATCCATTTGTTTGGACCTGCAGGTTGAGCATCTCTGATCTGAAATCTGAAATGCTCCAAAATCCATAACTTTTTGATTGCCAACATGACAGCACAAGTGGAAAATTGCACACCTGACCTCATGTGATGGGTCACAGACTAGACATTGGTGCACTAGAAATGAGTATAACTAATTCATCTGGGTTAATTACATGATATCTCTCGGTCCCTTCCCAAGATATCATGTATGTGCAAGTATTTCCCAATCTGAAACCTTTCTGATACCGGGCATTCTGGCTATGTCTTCCTACTGGCTCTCCACCCTCTTCTGCATCCTTCTCATGGAGCTCCCAGCAATAGAGCTTGGCTCTGGAGAAAGGAGGCACATTTGCTCCTTGGGCTGAATTCAGATGATGGGTCCTCAGGGCCCAGGAGTTGCAACAAGACACCTAAGAAGTGTTCGTGCAGACCAGAACTCTGCTCTATCCTGTCCACACTTAGCAGGCAGTTGGACTTGCCCTGGCCTTACTCTGTGGATGACAAGTCCTAGGGCTGGTCCAGGGTTCCTCTCCATGAGATTATCTGGGACCTCGGAGGCTTCTGCTCAGCTCCCCACCTCTAAACGTGGGCAGCGTGTCCACTCAGTGCCCCACTATGACGGGCACAGCCTGAGGCAGACTGCAGGAGTCAGATGGCCTGGGGGTGAGCAAGTCCTCCTATGGTGAGTCACACAGTCTGGCCACCTGTGCCACAACCAGCAGGGTACACATTGCCGCCTGGCCCCTGGGTCCCACCATGGCAAGACAGAAGAGAAGTCAGGTACTTCTTCCCTGCTCACTCACAACCTTGGCCTCTGAGACACAGTTCTTGCCAGGCTGCCTTCCACCCTAGGGTCCTGGAACCCATTCTTCCCCTCACCCCTTATGCCCAGAGGTGGCAACCCCAAAGCTGCAGCCCTAGGTTTCTCAACATTCTCCATAGCACCCTCAGCTCAGCCTATTCCTCTATAAAGGGTCCCCACTGTTTAGTATTCAGTTATCATCAGAGTGAGATTCTGTGCCTCGGGAGACCACGACTGAACCCTTAAGTGACTTTCAATTAGCCTCAGTTTTGCTCATCCAAGAACATGTATGGAAATCCCCACCAGAACATATAGTGTGCACAAAGTACCCAATGGTGTCTAGTCCACAAGACCTTCTTCCTGCCAGCCCTCCCACCTGTCTTCTTCCCCTGCGAGTTTAACAGACGCCCCTCTCCCACACACTGCAGGTGACACTGGGGACTGTAAGTGCGCAGAAAGCGATCAGTTCATCGGGGGTCTCCCAGGACTGCCAGGACCCAAGGGCTTGCCAGGTTTCAATGGAGAGCCAGGAAAGAAAGGGGATCAAGGAGAACCTGGACAGCACGGTATCCCTGGGTTTCCAGGGTTCAAGGTGAGAGAATGGGGCCCTCTAGTGACTAACCTTACCACAGAGCTGACAACATCCCTGAGACTTGCCCCGCTGCTCCTTTTTTTTTTATTTAAGTTAGTACAGCTTTAGATCATCCGCGTTTGTGCAGCCAATGTATAGAAATGAAAACCCACATGTTTGACTTTTACCAGTGGGTCTGTGAAATGGCGCAGTCATTGTGGAAGACAGTGTCACACTTCCTCAAAAAGTTACACTAGGGTTACCACAGACCTGGAGATTCCACTCCTAGACATATACCCAAGGAACTGAAGAACATGTGGCTTCATTTTGTGCCTTGTGGAAGATCTACCTGGTATAGATCTTTCTTCTTTAGGCAATCATAACTCACCAAAGATTTCAAAGCAGAGTTAAGCAAAGAATTACACTTTTTTACTTTTTACCTTAAAAAGAGAACTGCAGGGGATTTATAAAGTGAAAACTCCATTTTATATATTCAGCAAGAGGAAAAACTTTCTCAGGACACTTAACCAAGGACAGTTTGAACAAGGACTCCACATTGTCATGAACGAGGTTTGTCCACACAGAGCTACGAGGCACAGAAGGCCACGACTCCTGATTGCTCTATGGCACAGGAGCAGTGCAGATGAAAATGAGATCCTTGATTCCATGCCCTAAATGTTCTCAGAAAATGCACAGGAAAATTCCATAAAAAATAATCACTGCTATTTTAATCTTAGTTGAAAAAACAAGACCATGTCCAAATCATGGCTGTCTAAGCAGAAGAAGTTGCATGCAGTGAGAATCACACACTTCTACTGACAAAACAAGCAGGACCCTCACTTGTTTAGAAAGTGATTGGATCATTCCTAGGAGCCATTCTGTGCCCTTGAAATACCCACATGGTTCAAGTGCACATCCCCAGGTGTGTTCCACATGTGTCCTCAAGATTTCTGTCCAAATGCCTCTGGTTGTTGTGTTGTTCTGCACTTAATTATATGTGTGTCAGGAAACCCCACTGCAGTAGCAATGGCTGAGATGATTTCTGTGGTTAGCTAGTTGGGTTTTTTGTTTTGTTTTAGTATTTGTACTGATAGAATCTGACAGAGTACTTGAAGCACAGTGTTGATCAAACTTAGCTACTGAGCATCATCTGTGGGTGAGATGCTTTCCTGGATACTGGAAGAATGGTGCCCTTTTCTGCGAAGAACTAAATCAGTAAATCCAGGATCTGTGGAATTCTCTTAGAGAAGAGAACTCACAATCACTCAGAACATTCCCTTTAATTAAGCCAGCACTCAGCTCACACATTCTTGCAAATAGCATCAACCAAGATACACCCCAAACTAGCACCTCACACATATTAAAATACAGTCCCAAACCACAGACCTGCCCATTCCAGTCCATTGGCAGCTCCGCTAGATTCTACAGCCTGACGTGTGAGCGTCCCTGCGGTGAGCTGCTGCCTAAAGCTCACTGTCTCAGCCTTAAGCTCCACTTTTGTTCTCAACATCGAAGCATCACAAATGTTTATTACCTGCCTGGATCTCTAAGGATTGCAGTTAAGATTTAAATAGCCCTGTGTTAGGTCAGTGATTCTGAGAGTGACTGGGTCTATGAATCCTTGGGACCTTTACGAAATGCAGGTCCTAGGTCAGCTGCCCCAGGGCGGGGCCTGCTTCTGCATCTCTCACCAGTCCCCAGGCCATGAATGGATTGACTCTAGGTTTCCACTGTCCAGCCACCTGGGCAACTTCCATCACACTACACTTATTTAAATTCAATTCCTTGGTCCCCTATGCACAGAGCCAGGGTTTGATAGCCACTGTGGTTAGTGGTCACTTGCCAGACAGCCCAGGGGCAGAGAGTTTCCGGTGCTGTGTAAAGTTCTCTTGGACATGACTGGCCCGATGACAGGCAGAGAGGCTCGTTCTCTGCTCAGAAATCCAGCACAGTCTAAAGAGGAAGACATGTCTGTGGGTTTGTTTCCACAGGGAGCGCCTGGCCTCATTGGAGTTCCTGGACCCAAGGGAGTAAAAGGAGATTCTAGAACAATTACCACCAAAGGTCAGTCTATGTAAGCAAGCAGTTCTTGGATCACTTGACTCCTGTGAGGACTGTAGGAGAAGATTCACATGCAAACTGTCTCCCAGGTGAGAGGGGACAGCCAGGTGTCCCAGGCGTGCACGGCATGAAAGGCGACGATGGTATCCCAGGGCGTGATGGGCTCGACGGATTTCCTGGCCTTCCCGGTCCCCCGGTGAGTAGTGGTCGACATTGGGGTGGACCTGGCCCTTTCATCTTCACCTTCGTGTTCTTCAAACTCCCGAGAGGCAGGCAGTGTTGGTGGTGGCACTGACCCAAGCTGATGCACAGGACAGCCTGGTCTGTTTTAGAAGAATTAATTGTTTAGGAAATAGTGAATAACGTCAGAAGCCAAGCTCAGAGCGAACACTTAAAAGTCAGAGTGTAAATAAATAAATATTCCCCGTGATGGGACCCCCTCAAAGCATGATGTTCCAAATGAGTGGCAGAGCCCTTTTTTTCCAGGATAAATGATAGAATAGACAGTTTGGGTTTGCGACAAGCATGCCAACATTGGAAGGGGACATCCGACCCCTGCAGAGGCCCGTCTCCATTCCTCAGGCAGACTGGGGGCAGGCAGCGACTGACTATGGAGGTGACCCCTCCTCACCCCCTCCCTCACCTTCACCCTGCATCCTGGCAGCCTCCTAGTCCACTCTGGGGTTTCCTCCGCTTACAACTCTGCAGCATCCTTTCTGGCCTCTCTCATTCTCTCCTTCATTCCTTGTTCTTCCGGTGGCTGTTGGCCCGTGGCGCTTACGTGCTTTGCTTTAGCTTCCTAAGGCTGCTGGGGCCAGATGCCTTGGGCTCGGTGGCTCCACAGCAGAACATGACTCTGGTCGCTCCGGGGCTACAAGCTGACTCACCACGTTACAAGGGGCTCCTTCTGGAGCTGAGGCCCTCAGCCCTTCCTCGGCCACTAGGTGGCTGTCACCCCATCATGTGTGTGCTGGTGTCTGTGTCTTTTAGTGGGGGGAAAGTTCTCTTGGAATATGACCCACCGTAAGGCTCATCTTCCCTTCATGCTCTGTTCTGACCCTATTTCCAAACAAGGTCCCATGCAGAGATGCGGGGTGTGACCTCAACTTCACTTGGGGAACATTCAACCCATACTCCTCCCCCACTCCTCTACGCAGGGCTTCACACCTGGTTCTAGCCTGGCTTATCTACCTTGCCTCATGGCTTGGCCACCTTCTCTGTCCTCAGTGTGAGCTGTAGCTATTGTCGTGGCTACATCTCAGCACAGTTGTCTTGGGCAGATGGCACAGATGACTCGTGATGAGTCTCCTTAGTCCTGTCTGGAAGGGAGCAGGGGTAAAGCAGGGATTGGGTGAGGGAGAGAGTACACGTTTGGGGCAGAAGAGGATGACTGATGGTTGTTGTGGTTTGAACAGTGCTGATGTGCTGTGTGTGAATATGTGTGTTGTGCACCATTTGTGATGTGTGGTGGCGTGGACACACGTATGAGTCTTTATTTGTCGCAGTGACAGTGTCTTCTTCTGGCGTTGTTGACTTGTGAAGTTGGTGTACAGCAGGGTGCATCCTGGCTGTGGGTATGTGATGGGTGGTGTGCCAGGTGTGTATATGGATTTGTCATGTGACCGTGGCCCTCTCTGGCATTGGTCTGTGGATGTGGTGTGTGCTACATGGAACACCATCCTGGCTGTGAGGGTTCGGCCAGCTCCCGAGGTACCAAGACAGTCCCAGACCATCTGATGCCATCGGGGCAGCTCTACTCCCTCTCTGCTCCCAGAGCAGGTCTTGGTGGGGTGACCTCTTTCAACACTTGGGCTCCTTCCCTGTTTGCTGCTATCTCAGCTAAGAACAAGAATGTCCACTTTGAAAAACTTATTGGCACACCCAAATATTGTCCTCATCTAAGCTTGGGGCGCCCACCCTGTGAAATAGAGAGTCCTGACATTATTATTTACCCCACACATATTACAGAGGATAAAACATGGAGGTTGTGTGCTTTGATGAGGGTCCTACAAATGGAAAGGGGCCCAGTGACTGTCCCACTTCACCTTTGAACATGAAGAAGAAAGCAACCACAGACGGCAGTGTGACCTCTCACCAGCTCCTGCCTGACTGCCTCTGGGGGACCCCCACCTTCACCCTGTGGCTTTGTGGATGGCTGGGACCAGCCCACATGGCTGTGTAACCAGCTTATTCAGCCACACACAGTGCTGAGGCTGGGGTCCTGTTTGCGTGAGACCATGCCAGAAATGTCCTTTTAAACTGCCCCAAACTCACCCTTATCCCTCACTGCCCACCCTAGTGTCCCCACCTGGCTGCAGCTGTCGTCACAGGACACGCCACTGGCAGACACCCTCCAGCCTCTCTCTTCTCTTTCCATGAGCACCCGTTTCCATGAATTTCCCGTTTCTCATGAGCACCTCTCTGTCTCTCTGTCCTGTCTCTGTCTCTGTCTCTTTATCTCTCTCTCTCTCTATATATATATATATATTTAGCTTCCTTTCCTCTAATGACATGTTGTCCCTTGTGAGCAGCAGACATGTCACAAATGCTAATAGTAACAACAGATAAGCCATGTGTTCTTACTCCCGGTTATCCCTCCTATGCCTCCCCTGTCCTGGTGCAAATTTTTTCTTCTGATGAAAATCCAGTTGGTGCCAGAGAAGGCAGCTGGGAGAGAGAGAAGAGAGTGTCCAAACAGAAGTGGGTGTCCTCTGTTTCATTTCTCTTAAGTGTCATAAAGTCTGGCATTAATCCCACGACTTGGTTAGATCATGACAGGAGGTCTTGTTAATCTCTGCTGTCTTTTTGTGCTGTATCCACAGCACAGAATTCCAGGGAAATGGGGACAGGAAACAGAAATAATGACTGCACCTCATGTTTGTGTGGATTTTAAGAGGTAACCCGGATTGTCTTGCAGGGCGATGGCATCAAAGGCCCCCCAGGGGACGCAGGTTATCCAGGTGTACCCGGAACTAAGGGCTTTCCAGGAGAAGTAGGCCCCCCAGGACTGGGCTTACCAGGCCCAAAAGGCGAGCGTGGTTTCCCAGGAGATGCTGGATTACCTGGTCCTCCAGGCTTTCCTGGTCCTCCAGGCCCTGCAGGGACCCCAGGTCAAATAGGTACAAAGGAGTCTTCCCTTCATCTTGCCACACCCTGGGACAATGATCAGTGCTTCTGCATCCCTGTCCCTCTGTACCCCTGCATGCTTCACCAAGGACCCATGTGGAACAGCCATCCACCAGGTGCTTCCCAGCCCACCACCTGCTCTTTTTGGCAGTTGGGATATGGAGCCAACCCTCTCGGGCACCGAGTTCAGAAATGGGCTCCTGATTCTCTGCTCACACACAAGCACCAGCCTCCCCAGCACCACACACACACACACAGTCACATGTGCACATGCAATCACACTGACACACCTGCACACACGGTGACTTCAAATTGCCTCCCCTGTTGCTTTTGTCTCCCCCAGATTGTGACACAGGTGTGAAAAGGCCCATTGGAGGTGACGGACAAGAGGCTTTCCAGCCAGGTACAGTGATAGATAGCAGATGACTCTAGGCTGCTTTTCATCTTCTGCTGATAAAATATTTGACTCATTGATCAATATTTGTCAAGCTTGTGTGGCACGAGTATGGGGGAGTTAGTTATCTGTGCCACACTACGGGCTGGTACCCGGCTGCTTCAGCTTAGGTCAAAGGATAGGCCAGCACAGCAGAACGGGCCACTATGGCAGAGCATGGAACCACACCACATCCACTCATAGCTGCTGAGAACTCAGCAGGTGTTCTCCTGCTTGAGACTCTGCTGACAGCCATCTTCCTGTGCAGGGAGGAAGACATCTGTGAATCTTATTCTTATTGCATTGGGTAAAGAGTGAGACAGATGCATGCCACAAGGAAGAATCTGAGCTGGGTTTGTAGGTGCACATCTATAATCCCAGCATTTGGGAGCCTGAGGCAGGATGATCTAGAGTTTAAGTGCATCATGGGCTACATAACAAGACCTAGGCTCAAAAAAAAAAAAGGAGTGAGGAAGAATCTGGTCAATCTGGTCTAGCCATGAGTGAGCCTAGAAAGAACAGGACAAACAAGACAAGAAGACACATAGATGACCCCAGTCATGGTTTCATGAAGGGAGGTTGTAGGAGGCAGGCCTGGCCTCATAGGTAGACTTGGAAGCTGAAGGGGAAGCTGGTGAGACAGACAGGTCAGAGACAGTGGTAGAATGCCAGGCCTTGGTCAGAATTCTGAAGAGACAAACAGTAAGCTTTGTCCAGTTTAAGGTGCTGGGAGAATATTTGACACGGGTCTGACACAGGAAGGTCAGAGTTGGACCGGTGTCAGCCAGTGTAATGACCAGGCCTCTGTGGGAAGGGCCTATGCTCCAGGAAGGCACAGGGCACTTCTCCAAGAACAGGAGGCCAGCCATGGAAAGGGACCCTCCATGGCCGGAGATACTGTGGGGGTCACCCAGGCCCTCCTGGCAATCCGGGTTCATTTCCTTGTAGGATTCTGATCTAGACAGTTTGCAATCCCAAGGTAGGCAGTTAAAAAAAGAAAGGCAAATCTTGGAAAGGCCTACATTCGGTGCTGGGTAGGAAGCAGAGGACCTCCAGCATGGTGGCAGAGAGTGGCTGTTGTTAGGCAGAATGGCACCAGGCACTGCAGTGTTTGAGGAGGGAGAGGTGTGAGTGAAGGTGAGTGAGTTCCCACATAGGGTCAGGACAGACAGATGCAGTGTCAGCCAACAGAGAGGTTCAGGAAGCACCGCAGACACACCAGGAGCACAGAGGGTTTAGCACAGCCTTCCGTGTTAAGTCAAGATGAGCAAGGTGGCCTTGCTCGTGGGAGGAAAGCGAGAGGTTTGCTGAGAGCCAGGTGTTTGTCCTATGGAACCCCAGGATCATGTGTAGAGAGAGGTGGAGGAGGAAGCCCTGAGGAGGTTACAATTTGTCCCAGATGGCGCTGGTGGGCTGGAAGACTTAGGGTGAGCCAAGGTTTAGTGTCACAGGCTGGATCATATTTCAGTAGGAATGAGACCGAGGGAGCTGTCGGTGATGAAAAAACTGCAATGGGAGATTGGGAAACCTCGAGCACTGGGGATGTGACTTACATGGTAGAGCCTGTGCCTAGTATGTACGAGGCCATGGGTTCAATCCCCAGTGCTTCACAAAAACAAAAGGAAAAAAAGACTAAGACACTGTGACTTTTCATAGACACCTAAAGGCAATGAGGCCTATGGCACTGAGCCTGGTGGAGAGGCTGGCCTGGCTGTACCACCCAGAACATTCCAGACGGAAAGCCACAGTCTGCAGTGGTTCCACAGCACTGAGCAGTATAGTTCACTGTATTAATGACAGCCCAACAGGGACAGAGACATGGCCTGATCCCCTCTCGCAGGAAATCCTTTCCCGCTGGAAATCACCAGAGGTTCCGATCTCCTGCCTCCAGGAGGAAGGGGGCACAGGAGGCTGAAGCCCTGCTCACCCTGAGGCCACTCAGGTCACATGGGACCCTGGCCCCCACTCTCAGGCAGACAGACAAAAGAGGGCCAGGAATGGCTGTGCTTTCAGGACAGCTTTCTTAGCTGGAGCACATGACAAATACTCCTGCTGGAATGTCACCGTGCTTGGCCCCACCAGCCAGGAACGCCTGCAGCCCTGGGTTAATTCCACACTGCTCAAAGCAGCTAATGAATGTGGTTAATTCTGAAAGTGTTCCAAGTCACAGTGGAGAAACCCAAGAATTCCTTTTGAAATGCAGGCTGTCTCCATCTGCGGATAGACATTTCCAGATGAAAGAAAGCCACATTGACTCCATGTGGGCTGAGCTGACTATCTTCCGTGAGGCTCCAGGCATTCGTCAGTGCACTGACAGTTTTTATTTGGCTGGACTAATTTAATTTGCGTCTGATATTAATATTCCAGTTCCATTACACAAGGAAATTAAACTTACATCAGAGGCAAGATTAATTAAAATCATTAAATTACTCTGGTCATAAATGGTAGCAGCTCCCCTGGCTGCCTTTGACTGTAGCAGAACCCAACCATAAAACAGCACTAACCGTGCTTATCCATCCTTCTCTTCCCAGATTGCATTGGAGGCCCCAAGGGCTCACCCGGCCTACCAGGCCCCCCAGGCACTGCAGGTAACACATCACAACCTCGGTCTTCTGTTTCCCCTCTTGGGCCTACTTTCCTCTGGCCCTGCATGCCTGCCCACCCTAGACACAGTGGGGTTCACTATCCTAAAATCACCAGCAGCTGTGGTCACTTCCCCTAAGAAGCCAGCTCTCGTGCATGCTGTTGAAGAATGTGTGTAACAATACACATGTAGCTGACCCCGCCTGAAAGAGAAACTCCCACCAGAGACGTCAGCCTTCGCTGTGGCCTGGGGGCACCCGGAAAAGGCCTTCCACAAGCTCAGAGGGCTGGTTTAGGGGCTGACACTCCCAGCCTCATCCTTTGCCAGCTTTGTGATAGGCATTATTAGGTCAGGTGCGGAATGACTACCTCATTTGTCCTCATGGGGTCTGACATGGTCTGTGGTTTCCTTGAATATGTAGGTATCAAAGGCCTCAGAGGGATACCAGGATTCCCAGGAGCTGATGGAGCGCCAGGGCTCAAGGGCTTCCCTGGAGATCCAGGTCGTGAAGGCTTCCCCGGACCCCCAGGTAAGTCGGGGTGAGGTCCCGTGCATGTCTGTGGTCAGGGCCACCCAGGTCTGTTGTCTTCCAGGATTTAGAAGCTACTTCAACAAATACTTGAGAACAACCATTGCCCTTGTTCTTATGAGACTAAAACTCCTGTGGTTTTCATTGCTAGCATTGTGCTGGATTTTTGCAGAAGGTACCCACAGCTCTTCAGGAATAAGGAGACAGATATTACAAAAAGATTGTCCTTGCTGGAGAATGAACATTCTAAAGTTGTCCTCTCCTGGGATCTTCCTGAAAGCAGACGTCTCTTTCATCATTGACTCTCAGGCTAACTGTCCCTCACCAAAGAACACCCAGGTCCTGGCTTCCTGCTTGCCTGCTCTCTGCAGCGCCCAGCTTCTCTGGATTAATGATCCAAACCATTCCATTCCCATTTTGACACAGCAAAGAGTTTTGGAAGCTGTGTAGTGGCCAGCTGCCACTCCTGCCCTCCAGCTTGTCAACATTCTTTTCAAACTGAGCTCCGGAAACAGTAAAATGCTCCCCATATCTCCATAGAACAGTGAACCATTGTGTCTTAGACTTACACACTTGGCACGTTTCAGCAAAGCTGAATCAAATCTCTCCCTTGACCTACACTTGGGTAATCAGTTTAAACCCAATTGGAGACCTTGGTGCCGGCCCCTGGTGGATTTGGTGCTGTGGCCCATAGAGGGTGATGCAACCCCAGTCTTGTTGCCTTTCGCAGTATACATCTCCTATGCTTTGCACACCTGGGAAGCACATCTGCTGTGTGCTTTATCCAGGTGCTGGGGAACACCCTGACTTAGAGAGCAGTAACCGAAAGTCCCCTTCTCCACACCAAAGGGCAAGTCTATACTATTGTGTGGCCCTCAGAGCGTCCTAGGTGTTGTCACGCTGAGGATATCACTTAGACCGGGTGTTAGTGTGCTTTATTCTGAGAGAAGGATAACACTCTGAGTCTGAAAGGTCGTAGGAAAGGCCTTTGAAAGCACAGCAATGGCTCTGCCATGGTAGCGAGTGGGGCAGGTGACATGGGCAGTAGCTTGCTTCATATAGAAATGGAAGCCTGGAAGTGACCAGAGGGACTGGGGCAGACGGGAGGGAGAAGAGGGACTGTTCTGTTCTATTTTTGAAATGCATGTCACCTTTTATGGTAATGAAATAGACTATATGTCTGTGGCCACTTCCAGAAGACGATAAAAGGCCCAACCCCAAAGATCCCAAGAACAAGGAGACCCTATTCCAGACTTTGGACCCAGATACACACACATACGTGCACAGCTCCCCACACGCAGTTTTGAACACTCCAGTGAGGGAACCACACCTCGGAAACTCTGGGACAGTGTCCAGCTAGTTCCTGTCAGCTTAGGTCCAAATCTTCTGTGCTGAGTTCCACGTACGATCGTAGACCTTCCAGTCCACGAGCAAAGCTGGCTTCACAGTCCTTTCCAGGACCCGTGGCCCTGCTCATTGGGTCTTCCAGAAAGTTCCTTCCTTTCCACCTGCAAACCTCAGGGTACTGAGCCTCCTGTGTACTTGATCCTTTCCCATGGAACTATCTTTAGGGTGTGATTCTTGGCCTGCAGCCCCCAGTGAGCCCCCAAAAGCCTGGCCTCCGGGCATATGTGGTTCAGCTCCTGGACCTCTGTCGGAGGCTGCGTCAGGGCTGAGGGCACTAAGGGAAGAGACATGCTGAGACAGTTGACACGTGGCACTAGGAAAGCCTACGACAGCCTCATTCCCTCCATCCCAATGTTTGAGTGATACTCAGAGCAGCCCCTGGAACATTCCCACTGGTGACCAGGGCTTTCTCACCAGGGAGGGAGGCAGAACGCCATACTGACAACTCTGGCTGCCCCACTCCCTGGTGTTTCCATCACCACTCACCTGCACACAACTTAGAATTTTGATTTTGGAACATAAGCCCATGAACTCTGAGGATGTCTGTCCAGGGAGCAGTCAGTTCTCATGGCCTGGTCCACCTATCTGCAGGGCTAGGAGCCAGACAGTGGAGGGAAACAGAGAGAGAGACTTAACCTGCAGGTTCCAAGGTGGACAGCAGAGCAAGGCCTTGAGCTACAGGACCACCTTCCAAGGGCCCTTTCTGTACCCTGGCTGATTCTGGCCTTTCTCTAACACCACTTTACAATTTGATGATGTGTCCTATGGCTAAAGGGACCACTCTTTTTGACTTTCAGGGTTCATGGGACCCCGAGGATCTAAAGGAGCTGTGGGCCTCCCTGGCCCCGATGGACTTCCAGGCCCTGTCGGCCTACCAGGACCAGCTGGGCCACCTGGGGATAGGGGGCTTCCAGGAGAAGTCCTGGGTGCTCAGCCTGGACCTCGGGGAGATGCTGGACTGCCTGGACACCCTGGGCTGAAAGGCCTTCCAGGAGAGAGAGGACCCCCTGGATTCAGAGGTGAGTCACATGACAGGGGCTGGGGGTGTTGATGAAGGAACCCCATCACAGCTGCGCCGCGACTGCCAAGGGTGAGTTGGAAATCCTTCCAGTGTGAGGGAGGGTGAGAAGCACCCACACTGTGTGCTACTGTCTCCCTCTGTCTTTTCCACTCCTTCCCAGCATGCCTGTACAGTATTTGTGTCAATACCGTACCTTCAATAACTGGTGAAGTACGGCCCTTGTGACCTTTCACAAGTATGAGCCACTGATGCGCCTCACCACGCAAGGTCCGCTGAATTCTCAGCAGAACTGTGCAGCTGGGGTGAGAATTAGATGGGCCCGGCCATGCCGAGCACAGATTATGGGGGAGGTAGAGATCGTCTGGAGTGCAACTTAATTAGATGATATGAAAACTGATGCACCTTGGAATTTTTTGTTTGTTCGGGGGTTCTTGAGACAAGGTATTTGCCGTGTAGCTCAGGCTAGCCTCAAACTCTCTGTGTAGCCCAAGGCGGCCTCAAACGAGATCCTCCTGCCTCAGCCTCTTGAGTGCTGACTTGCAGGCATGCATCACCACTTCCAGCCAATTGATGCGTTTTAAAAATGTCTTGACGTACACAATGTTCTCAGTTTATGTGTAGCAAAGTAAGAGGAGCACTGGTGCCTGAATAGGGCATCAGGCACTTTAGCTACTGAGCTTATGTAGAGCTAGCATTGAACTCCAAGACCCCAGTGTTAAGGAAAGATTGTGTCACCAATGTCAGGTCTTCACATGCTGGAGACAGCCGCTCACAGAAATCTACCAGCAGACTCCAAATCCAAACTGGAAGTGAGGGGAAAACCAGGACTGTCTGGCTTTCCATTTGTCTGTGGGCAACACTGTCATCCATTCATGCTGCCCACCCAGCCAGGCACAGGGGGAGCTTCTAGATGGTACAGAAAGGCAGCATTCCCCCAAGACTATGGGGTGGGGTGAGCCTGGGCTTTCACTGGCAGCACAGCTCACACAACTCAGGAACATGACATGGCTTCTGGATGAACGTGAAAACCTAGCAAGGCTCAAAGAGGGGGTAGACACAAGGCAGGTGGGTTTTGATGACAAGATGACTGAGCCGCCCCTATAGCTGCCGATGGTGATGGAGAGAACCCCAGTGTGAGGTCACAGTTCACTGAGAAAGGCTGGGGAAGGCTCACAGGAAGGAAAGAGCCTGAGCTGGCTTGAGTGCACACAGACACACCATCTCAAGCGTGCTCCCCACACATGGTTGCACAGTCACACATGCGTGTACACAATGCTCATGCATGTGCCATGCACACCTGATCACATGCACACATACTCAAAACATGTGTGCACACCTTCCCGCACACGGACGTACACAGGCAGACACCCACAGCCCTGAGCCAGGCAGTGCAAGTCACTGGATGGATGGCCCAGCATGCCCTCTGCTGAGCCTTGCTGCAGGGTTTAAATGAGCAGCACCTTCGTGCTCAGCAGAGCAAAGCAGAGCCCGTGCCGCGATGTCTCCATGGGTCCACGCTCCATCTGCTCCGTAGTCCACTTGGGAAACTGTCCTTTACCTGAGGCGCTCCTGGTGAAGTTCTTTAGAAACTTAACCACCTTTGAAATGTGTAGGCAAGAAGCGAAGTGGGATCAGTTTGCTTTCAGTGCGTGGTGAGGTCTCTGGGGATGCACTTGTGCCCCGTGCCAAGCTTCCTAGGCCGCACTTGGGCAGAACGTTGTGTCTGGTGAAGTTCTCGCACTCTGACTCCCGCCTCAGTGTCCATCAGCTCTGCAGTGTAGGGTCAGATCAGACAGGTCCCGCTCGGCCTGGCTGGCCCTGGGGTCAGCTGCAAAGACCCCATGTGTGCTGTGTTTCTGAGCAGAATTTTCTGGATATAGCAGGTGCATGTGTCCTCAGACCAGATATCCTTGAGCTGAGGAAGCTGACGGGTAGCTACTCGTTTTTATCAGATGTTCCGTAAGTGGAAACAGACCTAAGATATTTAGCTTCTAGGAAGGAATCTCGATAAGCACCTGAAGGAGCAAAATACCCCTACCGGACTTTTCCAGGTAGCTGCTGGAGTAGTCACTCCAGACTCTTGCATCATAGCCTATCCCGTTCAGCCCGTGGCCTGGACGCAGCTTGCCAGACTTGCTCAGGTCTCTCAGGCTGAACACAAGCTCACCTTCACTGGGCTCTGTTCTTAACGACAAACAAGTGTCACCCAGGGGCCTGACATCCCCATCTGAATTCCTCAGCCACCATGCTGCCCACCTGCTCTGACAAGGCCCCTCGTACTCAACAGCAATCCTGTTTTTCCCTGAGCTGTTCACTATAAAGCGTCCTCATTCCCTCAACACTGGGAGCAGGGGCACATGCATCTGTGTGCCTCTGAGAACCTCAGTTCAGACTTCTGAGGATGGCTTCCTACTCATCCCACCTTCTCCCACTACAGGTTGTCACAGTCAGACACCTGCAGAAGAGGCTAGCACCTGACTTCAGGTCCCAGATTGGCTCAAGACTGACCCAGTCTCTTCTGTGACCATCCCCTGCCCTTCATCCCCCGGCTGACCTTGAGGGATGGTTATAGGTTAAATTTGAGTGCACAGAAAAGTCACTGCCGAGCTGGCCCTTCACTGTCACTAGCAAGTCAGAGACTGTGACAAGCTTTATGCTCCAAAAAAAGAAAAGAGAAATGCCCAGATTTAAGGAGGTTCGGGAGCTAGGTTCAGAAAAGACTAGAAGAAAATACATGCTCACAGTATCTGAGCACATACTGGATAAGGCAGGACACTAAACATAAGCTCAAGGGAAGAGATCTCACACACACACGCACACATGCACACAAACTCACATGTGCGAGCCACACACAACACGTACCCAACTTGTATACAGATGTGAACCTTCTACAGGTGAAAAACAAAATTACAGCAGCCAACTTCAAATAAATAGGAAGGAAGTTCTTCCATCCTCACGAGGATTACTGAAATCAATAAGAAAAGTATCCAGAACTCCGAGGGAAAACATAGGCAGAGAAAAAAAACTTCACCAAGAAGCAAAAACTAGGAGAGAGAAAATTCTCCTGGTCGCAGTGTGTACAAACTACTCAGTTCTCGCACTGTTTTCCCTCCACCCCCTTGCCAGGTTTCTGGTTTGCCTTCCGTGAGGCTGGGGGCTGGGGTCCATTGGTAGAAGGTACCTGGTGCCACCACTGACATCTGTGGGGTGCATTGTTAAAAGTTAGTGTCCATTTTGACCTTCTAGGTCAGTTTCTAGGACCCTTTCCTGAAGGAATGACCTGCATGGGTGGGTGTACCAAAACTCCACACCCGTCTTCATGGCACTGTTTGTAATAGCAAAGGCCGGGGGGAAGGGAGGGGGGTGGACTGGAATTCATTAAATGTGTCCTTATGATGGGATGTTTTATTCATGTAGTCATTTGAATATTTGCGAAGAATATTTTTAAATGTGACAAGACGCTGAAACTATGTCAAGTTAAAAACTAGATTAAAATTGTCTTGATAGTGCCATGTCAACTCTGTAAATTCCATTTCTCGGCACATTTATAGGCACAGGAAGGCAGGACATTGGTACCTACCGCAGGGCAGGCTGATCGTGTGAGTCACTGAGGCTTCTTTATCCTCCATGTGCTGCTTTGTATTTTCCAGACTTTCTGCAATCCAGTCAATTAAATCAAGTGTTTAAGACTGAGGTGACGATGTCTGTACTGAGAGGGTAGAATGGGCCTCACAGCTGCTGTTTTTGATTCCTGCAGGAACCCAAGGGATGCCTGGAATGCCAGGGCTCAAGGGCCAGTTGGGCTTCCCTGGACCTTCAGGCCAGCCAGGACTTCCCGGACTACCAGGACAGCATGGATTCCCAGGAGCTCCTGGCCAGGGGGGACCCTTGGGGCTGCCCGGTGCCCCAGGCCTTGGAGGTAAGACTCTGGCACTCCCAGGAAGGGGTACTAACAACTGAACTGCCTCCCACTGGGGGGTCCTCAAACAGTTCTCCAAGAACCCCCAAGAGCTGCAGGGGGTTCCGAAAACAGGACATATGTTTCTTCTTGTTTGTTTTGTTAGGGTTTTGGTTTGGGGTTTTTTTTTAATTGTTGTACTGGGGGTACATTGTGACGTTTACAAAAGTTCTTACAATATATCATAGTGACATTCACCACCTCCATCATTTCCTTTATCCCCCCTCCCCTCATTCCTGAAATAGTTTGAACAGGTCTCATTTTTACATTTTTATACACAGAACATATGTTTCTCCAGAGAATTTAAGCTGTCTGAGAGAGTAGCTCACGCTTTGTACGTATTGGGGTACATACTGGAGACCTCTGTACAACTTCATTAGGGAGAGGGAAGAAAAGAAATCCCACTGCAAGAGTTGTAAACCTCTGCTCTGAATTACAGAGGAGAAGTTGAAAGAGACAAGGAAGGAAGTCAGAGGCACAGATGTCCTTCTGGCACCACCAGGGTGACCAGCCTTCTTGCAGGGTCCTAGGGAGTGTTTGCTCTCCCAGCATGCTCAGTACAGCACCTGGTCCCCAGGCTTCATAGATCAATAAATGACAGGGTCTCCCTGTGTTTCCCAGGGAGGTCTGAGCAGTCCTCCTGCCTTGGCTCCTAATGTCGGGGACTACAGGCTCACACCACCGAGCCCATGTTCCTTTTTTTTTTTTTTGTAGAAATTTTACCCACTATCACTACCATTTCGCCAGAAACACTGACAAGTGGGAAGCGACTATTCCATAAAGAAAGATCTTTTCAACAGAATACATTAAGCTTAGAGACTCTGGATGCTGCCTGTAATTCTCTGGCTTGCCACAGTCAAGCGTTGACGTGGGGGAGGGCCTTCGTCATCTGTGCTGGGGATCCACTGTGCACACCAAGCACCTCCACACATTGACATCCAAGCACCCCACAATGGCCTCACCTGAATCCGAAACTGGAGGTTGGACTTGGGTGGAGCCAGCCTCCCCAGGTGCCTTGCTAGCCTCTGGATTTGTAAGGCAAGGAGCACTGTGCAGAGGGTTCAGATCCTCTATTTCATATTCACCAGGCCTCACTGATTCTTAGCTCCCACACATAAATAGTGATGTAAAAACTATAAAGATCCCATTCTAAAGTAGCCTACACTGTTGGGGGAAGAATTTCACACATGAATGAGCTTGTGTTTGACCAGGGAAAGCCAAGAGAAACCAGAACGTGACACGTTGAATTTCAGAGGAGGCCAGGGAGCCAGGCAGATCCTGGAGGAGGCAGTGGGACTGGAGTGGGAGGGGAGCTTCTTAAGAGAAGGGACAACCCAAGGGATGGGCTGGAATGCAGAACTTAATTGTACAAAAGAGCAGTAGTCTGGACAGGGAGATGAGGCCAAAGTGCAGGAGGATTGAATGCCAAGATAGGAGCTAGGTCCCTAGGCCAAAGGGACCACTGGCCATTTGTGACAGAGAAGAGCAGCCAGCAACTTGGTATGGGGGGGGCTTCATGTCGGGGAGGCTGGAAGACAGTGGTGGACTGGTAGCTGTTGAAGTCAGACAGTAAAGGTAACCAGGTGGAGCCAAGAGGTGCTCCACCCTCCTTGAAAACACCTGTGCAGGTGTACCTTCCTATCTTCCTTCCAGGAAGCTTTTCTTACCAAAACAAAAAAAAGTGTAACTGATGCTTTAGAGGTAAAATAGAACATCTTCTCTCCATCTCTTTTATTTTGTTTCTCCTCTTTCTGACAGGTCTGCCTGGGGACAGGGGAGACCCCGGTGACACAGGTGCCCCTGGCCCTGTGGGCATGAAAGGTCTCTCTGGGGACAGAGGAGATGCTGGCATGTCAGGCGAGCGAGGTCATCCAGGAAACCCTGGATATAAAGGAATGGCTGGGATGCCTGGTTCCCCAGGGCAAAAAGGTAAATGTGTAGGATCCCCTTGCTGCGACTGGGTGACAGGTCACTTTCTGATTGGGCAGCTGTCCTGGGCACCCCTCAGCTGGAGGGAGGCTGGCCTTACACACCTGCAGGACTGAAGCCACAGGACCCTGGAAAATGGGCTGGTGCCTCAGATGGGACTGACGTGCCCCAAAATGAAGCTGCTGTTGCCTGAGAAATGGTTCTCCAAGACACAAGGACATTTCCAGGCAGGCCCACTCAACATGGCCTTCCACTTCTGAGCCTAATGGTGTTTTTGCAAGGAGTCCCTTTCCTTGCAATCTGAGACCTTGCACATGGAGCTCACCTGCCCATGAGTGTTGCTGGAGACACATTGACTACCTTCCCATAAGCCCTCAGCAGGTCTCCATGCCGGGAGCAGTATGTCACACTCATCTCTGGGGTCCTTTCTCACTCTAGTGGGCCCCAGACTGTCCTCTCCACATGGTTTCTGTGGAACTTTATGTCTTGTCTCCTGTGCACTTGGTCCCTGCCTGACCACTTCTGCATTTTCCTTCACAGGGGAGCGAGGTTCACCTGGAATGCATGGCTTTCAAGGCATGACTGGACTCAAAGGAAGACCTGGGCTCCCAGGAACCAAAGGAGAGATTGGATTTTTTGGAATTCCTGGCCTGAAGGGCCCGGCTGGCCAGCCAGGTGTTAAAGGTATGCACCTTCACAGCAGCCAAACACTGCTCCACAGGAATCTGAGAACCTACCCCATCCTTGCATGTTAACTTAGACATTTCAGGCCATGGTACACAAATTGATCTTTTGAAGTTAAGTTAGAGCTGCAATTGCCCTGGGCTTCACGCCGTTTTCCCTTACCTCCCCACAGCTCCTCGGGGCCTGCTGGGCTTTAGTTCCCTGGTACATCTGTCCCTGCTCTGGACAACAAGCACTCTGAGGACAGGCTCAATTTACTTTTTGATCCCCTCAGCATCTATCCTGGCACTAAATACTCAGTAACTGTTTACTGAAAGCAGCAATTCTTTTCACTCAGTCAAACTTCCATGACCAGCTACTGAGTCCTCCAAGGACGTCAGATAGAGGCTTCCTTAGCCTGACTCCGCAGTGAAATGTGCTGGCAGCCCAGCCTCCCAAGTCTCCTTCCCCTACCTCCATTCATCCACCCCTCACATGCTCACCACAGAGCTCCCCTGCCACATCTGGCCAGCTGATTACTGTCACCCTCCCAGCTCTGGTGGTCCTTGTGTGCCTCTGGATACAGACCCGCTTGGTACTTACAGGAGAGCTGAGCTGGCTAACTTCCTTTCTTGAGGCTTCCTGCTCGTGGTGAGTCTTGTCACCATCTCATCAGAAGATATAAAATGCGCCACTCTCTCGACATACCCAGAACCACGTTGGCTCCAGTCCTTCCCTCTGTGTTGCCCTGCCACTCATCCTGGGTCCCCTGGACCCTGCTGGAGGAAACAGGTCCTTCCTTCCGCCACGGGCTTCTGTGCTTAGAGACAGCCTACAGGACTAAGGAGCTGATCCCCAGCTAGGGTAAAGGAAGGCGGGAAGAGAAGAGACATTTTGTGACCCCCATGATTTCTCTCAGAGGCTACTTTGTTTAGGGGAGACATAGCTCAGAGCATTTGGGACTCAAGATGGCAGAGGGTGGGGGCCTTCTCCACCTCTATCCCGCATGGTCTGGGGGTCACAGGAAATGACAGCATTCTGCTCCCTTTCAGGTAACCGAGGGGAACCCGGTCCCCCAGGGCCACCTCCCGTCATTCTGCCAGGGATGAAGGACATTAAAGGAGAGAAAGGCGATGAAGGACCAATGGGTCTAAAAGGATACCTGGGCTTAAAAGGTGAGGCACTGCCACCTTGTCCTGCTCCCCGCCACCTCAGCCCTGCACCTGTCGTGCCTCATCTACAGAGCTCTGCCAGGCTGGCCTTATTTTCTAAGCCTCTGGGGCCTGGTGTCTCCACACGTGGGCTCACGGTTGTTCCCTGACACCCGAGTCACACTTTCCCGTATTAAGATTTGCAGCGCTGCAGACTGCGAGATGCACCCGGACTATAAAATCACGGGCTTGGAGAGGGGCTGCTGCCTCCTCGCCAGGACCTCACACAGTAGGTCTTCCTGCAGGTATCCAAGGAATGCCAGGGATCCCTGGGCTGGCAGGAATCCCCGGGTCACCTGGGCGGCCCGGCCACGTCAAAGGAATCAAAGGAGACATTGGATTCCCTGGCACCCCGGGTTTGCCAGGATTCCCCGGAGTGTCTGGTGCCCCCGGAATTATAGGATTCCCAGGGTTCACAGGAAGCCGGGTGAGTCGACCGCTCCGTGCAGCTTTCCCGAGAGCTCCTCTCCTCCCGCTTTGTCTGGCGTTCACTGAGGTCAGAGAGGTCAAGAGACAGGTTCAGTCAGCTCAGGCTATTCTTGGGAGAGGCCTGAGTATCGAAGCTACCATGGTCCCTCACACAGGCTTTGGGCAGGTGAAGTTCATTGTCTGCACTTTCTCATGGGGGCCTTCAGCGAACAAAGCTTGAATTCCCAGAGATCAGCGCTCTACACTGAGCGTGGATGTGACATCAGGATGTAGCACCAGGCTTGAGAGCCCATTACAGACCCACAGTCTTGACGCTAGTAGGACGGCCCCGTTTGCATCCTTCATCCACAGAGGTCTCTGGAGCCTTTGCGTAGGCCACTGTGTAGCCATGGTCACAGAATGACCCCCTGAGTTGGGCAGAGCTATTGCCTCGCACACCTGTTTCCTCCCCTGTAGAATGAAGGTGGCAGCTACCTTTTAGTGTCATTAAGTACAGTGTAGACAACATTTGTAACACAGATGGTGGTTTCCACAGGTGGTGTTTCCGGGAATTCGTTTCCTCCTTTTTCATTCAGCCTGACTGCCCAGCTATCTGGCCAGCTGCCTCAGGGTGCAGAGTTACTCAGGTGTCCCACCAGCTGAGTGACCTTGGGCAATCCATTTGACCTCTCTGTGCCTCAACACCCCCTCACTCCCAACCCTGAATCCCAGAGTATCCTACACCCAGGCAATGTGCAGTTGCATGACTTTAAAGGAGGAAGACACAGGTATCCACCAAAGAACACTGGTGATAATGTTCACAGCAGCTTTATTCATACAGCCCCAGACAGAGGCACAGCTCGAATGTCCACCAGCAGGACAAGGATGAGTAAGCACAGTACCTTAAGACAGCAGACAGAGCCCATGAACTGACGAGGAGAGGCAAGGCAGGAGAGTGCCTGCCTTGAGTGGGTTTTGGCAAGGACTTTTGACCAGTACCAGAACATCTGTAGCTCTGTCTGTCTGAGTGACATCTGAGTCACAATCATTGTGCTGTGCATCTGAGATCAGTGCACTTCCATGTGCATAAATTTTGCCTCAATAAAGAAATCTAAGGAAGAGAAATAGCACATTATGCAAACAGAGACACAGCCTCTGGCTGACTCCCTTCTCCCACCAGTGCAGCCACATCACCCATTGGAGCCAGGTGGGAAGGGCAAAACAAGGGGCAACCTGAACTCCCACTGTCCCTTGGGGGAGGAGTACACTGTAGAAAGGAAGTGTGGCTTCCATGAGGTCACAGAGTGACCCCCCATCCTCCCGAACTCGCTGTGCAGACAACTCTGTTTTTGAGCTGTACCCGCCCTCCACAGATGGAAGGTACAGCCTTATAATCAAGAGAGCACTGTCTGCAACCGGCAGCCCAGAAAGATGATTCGGGTCTGCTGTTTACCAGCACAGTGACTGGGAGCAATGCACTTGACCTCTCAGCCCCTCAGTTTCCTCTGGGGAATGGTGGTGCCCACCTTACAAGGCTGTAGTGAAGTTTAATGAGCTCTTGGGATGGTCCAGCAAGCTCACCTGAGCAGGGCAGCAGAGTTAGGACATAGTCATGGTGACTGCCAGATTAGAATCACCCCGGAAGGACCAGGAGCACATGAGTGCTGTCACTCACTTCAACAGATTTGCCCAGGCTCAGTTCTTTTTATGCTTTCAAGGTTTGACAGGAACAAGTAACCAAATCACCAGCCATATAGCACTGGAAAAGTAGGCCTTGTTTACACAATGATGAGGTCACAAACTTTGAGTGCTGCTCTTAGCACACAGAAGAGTTAAATGCGTTAACCCTTCGGAGTGACAGCCTGCCCCTCCAACAGCCTTCTAAGACGGCTTCCTCTTGACTTTATCCTAGGGTGACAAGGGTGCTCCTGGGAGAGCAGGCCTGTATGGTGAGACTGGCCCCACTGGAGATTTTGGTAAGTATTGCTGGACCAGTAAAAATGAGGCATCCACAGCTCAGAGCTCCTGGGCATGTGAAGTGACATCAGACGTGGAGATACTGCTGGTCACTTATTGTTAAGAACATTGCACAAGGAAAGGTGCAAAGCTACAACCGCTCGACAGGAAGACCTGCTCTTCACCATCTTTTCTTCATGTACCAGGTGACACTGGCGACACTGTAGACTTACCAGGAACCCCAGGCCTGAAGGGAGAACAAGGCCTCACTGGAACTCCAGGTACACAAGTGGTTTTCTGTTTCTTCACAGTCACCAGCAGCCCTGAACCTTGCTTGTCCCTGAGCCTGGCGTGCCTAGTACATCAGAATTTGCTAAAAATAAAATGGTTGAGGCCTTCAAGCATGATGTTTAAGAAAGACTCTAATTTTTAAATTAATCAAATCTAACGACAGATCCAAGTAATCTCCCTCCACCTCTGTGAAAGTGAAAACAGAATCAGCCCAGAGGCCAGGAAGAAGGTGCAGCCCATCTATTGAACTCAGGGGCAGTAAATGAGAGCCTGGGCTACTGGACCTGAAAGAGTGTGAGCAGATGACACAGGGACCGTTGCTGCTTGTGAGCAGTGAAAGGCCTGGAGAGGAGGGCGGGGGTCAGACCCTCTTCTGGTGAGACAGCCAGAGGCAGCCAAGTGCCCTTGATGGGTTGGAGGGGCCCTGAGGGACACAACACCTCATGGATCTCTACTGAAAATCACTGATGCTCAATTTCAAAATTCCTGCCCTTGGTGCCATCCCAAGGGGCAGGTGACAGGTGGCTTTCTTCTTGAGCTCACACTGCATTAATTTCCCAGAGCTCGTAGTGTTTCTGGTGAGAAGAAGCAATCTGTCTGTCCATGTGACTAGTCAGTGGTGGCATGCCAGGCAAATTCTCTACATAGAATGGCTGCAACATGCAGAGAAGTGTTCAGCTAGCATGGCACCAAAGACCCCTCTTAGGCGTGACCACCTGCTGGGCTCGGTCTCAGCCTGTAATTTGTTCTTCCTCTCTGGAGAGCAGGGCTTTTCCTCCAAGCTGCTGGCCACCTGGCTCTTGACTGGTTGACGCTTCTGTCCTAAATTGTTACTTTAGAAGCTAGAGTTATCCTTGCTACATGTGTCAGTTACTAATGACTTCATTATTTCAACTGCTAATCACCCTGGTGACACAAAAGCTCCTATATGTGGAGTGAATTTTCCAGATTCCCCTGGAAGTTAAAACCACCCAGTGGGAGCTCTGTGTTGGTTATCTGTTGTTGCCTCACAAAGAAACCCAAAATGCAGCAACTTCAAACGTCAGTTCTGTGGGTCAGGAATCTGGACACAGGGTAGCTCTGACTTAAGGGTCTCTCATGAGATCCCCACCACGATGTTGCCAGGGCTGCAGCAGGGCTGAAGATCCCTTCCCAAGATGGCGCACTCACCAGCTGTTGGCTCAGGAGAGCCATGTGGGCCTCTCCACAGGGCTGCTAGAGGGTCTTCACGACATGATAGCTGGCTTCTTCCAGGTCCAGTGATCCACAATCGGAGACAAAGTGAAGGCAACAATGAATTTTATGTCCTAGGCTAGAGGTCATAGTTATCTTTGTAGTTACAACGTGTAGGAGGGTGGCAGAAGGGATCATGGCACTATCTTGGAGGTTGGCTACCTCAATCTCAGGGAGAGTGTGGTAAACAGTTAGTTGAGGCAGGAACACAGATGTCCATCCCCATGCCCGGCAAAAGTGTGCCAATGTGACCCCGTGGCATCGCTTAGCTGCTTGCCCTTGAGCCCAATGGGCACCAAGCTCAAGATTGACACGATGTCAGAGGTTTGTTCCAAGAAGCAAATTTGTGGTTCCAGGTCTAAAGGGATTCTTCGGGGAGAAAGGAGCGGAGGGAGAAGTTGGCTTCCCTGGGATAACAGGCTTGACTGGCCCTCAGGGCCCTCCTGGACTAAAAGGACAGACAGGTGAGAGCTGAAGTCACTGCCTTCCCAAGCATGGGGCCTCCCAAGATCCAGAATGAAGCGGCCATCTTTGCCACTTCCTTCCCTGCTACCATCACACTCACCTCCAGTGACTGGTACACGCTGCCCGTTTACCTAGCTGGAGCCAGCAACCTGGCAGCAAAACACCATCTGGGCCGTGGGGAGACCCTCAGTGTACAGGAGAGCCCGGGAGCCGATCAGAAGTGTTTCTGGGGCCAAACACCTGCCTCCTGTGTAACAGTCTTCTCTAAAGCATCCTGCTCGTGCATTTGAATATGCAGGATGGGCTGAACCCTAAGCTAGTGAAGGAGGGCACGGGGGGGGGGGGGGGGGGCGTGGCTGGCTTCCCATGCTGCCATGGTTGCTGCCTTCCTTCATTTGCACGGCTCTGTGGACTGTCCGCAGACGTCTGTCTGAAAGCACACACTTCTTTTTCCCTTTGGCAAGGCCGAGCTAGTCCTGTCACAGGAGGGTGGGCTGTGAGGCCAGGGGCACTCCTGGGTGGCAGACAGTTCCTGTCTTCTCACGATTTGGAGCTGCAGATCTTCAGGCCTCCCTCTGATCCCGGCCCTTCCAGCTAGGACCTTGCTGGAGGCGTCAGGAGAGCTCTTCCTCAGTCTCCAGGGTCTCCTGTGTGCTCACACTTAACCTTGGGTTTCTTTCAGGCTTCCCAGGTCTCACAGGGCTGCAGGGGCCACAGGGAGATCCAGGGCGGATCGGAGTGCCCGGTGCCAAAGGAGATTACGGCCGGCCAGGGGACCGGGGCTTACCAGGTAAGGGACTCCCTCCTTCACAGACAGCTGAACTACTCACAGTCATTCAGGGACAAGCCACCAGGCTGCAAGAAGTGGTCAGCTGGTCACCCTCTCTGGAGGCTGTTGTCTCTAGGCCCTGTGTGAACTCAAGCCCAGGCGTATCGGAGAGCTGAGTGCAGTTCACACGAGGCACACTGAGCAGGGTTTGCATCTCTGAGATAGATGCAGATGAAAAGATAGACGTTCTCATCTACAAAGAGGGGTTTCATCACCAAAGAGGTGAATAATGTCCCCGAGGGAGGGAGGATCTGGGTCCTCCTCTGGGCTCTGTGCTTGCTCAGAATTAAGGATGACCCACCCTAGTCCTGAAATGGGCCAGCGGCCACGTGCACTCCCATATTCCAGAAGGAATGACCGCCTGTGTGTGCTGGTCTGTCTTCAGAAATTTTATTCTTGGAAATCCGGAGGGAATGGAAGCAATACCAGGCTCTCTGCTCTATACAGTGCTTTTGCAAACCAAAGAAATACCAGTGGCGAGCATCAGGAAGCAAAACAGCACCTCGCTTGCTGGTTTCCTTCTGCCTCTGAGGAGTCTAAGAGAGTCTGTGAAAACAGGATTTAAGTGTGGGCTTCCTGGGTCATGAGAGTGACAGTGACAAGTTTGCATGCTGGGGTAAAAGGACAATGGCCTGCCTGCGTGCTGCTGCTCAGGGAATGAAGCAAAAGGAAACACATCAGAAGTGTCCCAAGTGTCTGTCCCTTTGCTGTCCCGCATGCATGACTAACAGTGAACCGACTTCTTGCAGGTTTTCCGGGAATCCGAGGGATCAGTGGATTACATGGCCTGCCAGGCACCAAAGGCTTCCCAGGATCCCCAGGTACTCAGCGGCACCCTGCCCCATCACGCAGGGCTCTGCCACCCCATCTGTTGCCTTCTTTACAATTTATACAAGTTATTCTACTCACGTTCAGTAGATGAAACATCTTAAAGACATTTTTTTAAACAACAGGGGCAAAAATATCCATAATCCTATAACTGCCATTCAAATATACCCATTATAAATATTTATGTAACCAAGTGCAGGCAAATTGTGTGTGTGTGTGTGTGTGTACATTACTCATAAATTCACACGCTCGTGTTCCAACCAACATTTCAATTCCAGTTTCAGAGGGCAGATGAAGGCACATCATGACGAAATCATGGTGCTGTTTCCAGTGATTGCTTTGAACAGTTGTGAACAGGGAAGCTTCCAAAACATGGCAAAGACAGTGTCACAAGCTGCCAGTGGGAGCCAGGAGGCCTGGGTTTTCCTATCCATGATGCCAGGTTCCACTGTGCTCTCCACGAGTTCCCTGCTGAGCCTCAGATTCTGTGGCACTGTGGCAAGAGCAAGGGGAAGTTGCCCTGACTGCCTGTTTCTTGACTTTCCTTCCACTTGGGAAAATCCCCTCTGTGTTTTAATTCTACTACAGGTGCCGATATCTACGGAGATCTAGGGTTCCCAGGTGCCACTGGAGACAGGGGTGACCCTGGAGAGGCCAACACCCTCCCAGGCCCTGTGGGAGCCCCAGGACAGAAAGGGGAGCAGGGAGCTCCAGGTGAGGCTGCATGTTCTGAATGAGTATCGTGTACCCTTGGGCAAAGCCCACAGAGTCTGGGTGGCGGTGGTCACAAGCCGGGTAAGAGGCTGTGCAGTGTAGGGGGTGCCAGTTCTCTGTGGAGAGCCTCTGGCTGGTCTCTGTCCAGTTTCTTCTACTCCTCGTTGGCGGGTCCCTGTCCACTTCTCCAGTGTGTGAAGGATGAGCCCCTGGCCCAGCGGCCTCTCCATCCTCTGTGCACCCCTGGCATCCAAGATGTCCCTGAGCCTGAGGGCAGCTTGAATCACTGCCTTGCTCTTTGTGGCTCTGGTCCTTTGGAGAAGATGGCACATGAGCAAAACAGTAGGCTGGGAAGCCAGTACTAAAAATATCTTCTGTTTTCCTCCTCAGGGGAACGAGGCCCAGCTGGGAGCCCAGGACTGCAGGGCTTCCCTGGCATCACCCCTCCTTCCAACATCTCTGGGTCACCTGGTGACGTAGGGGCACCAGGGATATTTGGCCCTGAAGGTAAGCAGCACTTCCACATACATGGGTTGAAATATCTGGGCAGGCACGGCAATGGCTCCACTGTGTAGGTTGGGCAGACATTCATTCCACACTGTGAGGCGATGGCCAAGGAGCCAGCACAGCACACGTTGCCCATGTTGTGCCCATCGCCTTCATGACACGGTCCCCAGGACCCACCACGCCTGCTGTGGGTCAGATGTGCACATTGTAGTGGACTCAGAAAAATGCAGCGGTTTCTTCTTCATCGTAGTGTGCTCTGATATTAAATTCCATTTGTATTTCCCAAGCACATGTTAGCTGAATATTGAAAAGATGATACAAAGTTGAAGCCACCCACCAAACAGTTATTTGTACATCCGTGTTCATAGAGACGTAAGTCTCAAAAACCAAGAGGTGGAAGCAGCCTGGCATCCATTGACAGATGACTGCTAAACAAAATGCGGTCTGTGTATACTGTAGAATATCGCTCAGCCTTAGAGAGAGTGGAAACTCAGGGCCAAGCGTATGGCTTAAGTGGGACAGCACTTACCCAGCAGGCACAAGGCCCTGGGTTCAATCCCCAGAACCAGGAGGAAAAAAAGTGAGATTGCGGCAGGATTGCAAGTTAGAAGCCAGCCTGGGCTACATGTTGAGTTCCGGCTCACCTGAACTGCGTAATGAGACCTTGTCCCAAAAAAACCAATAAAGAAATGAAAAGGATGGAAATTGTGACACAAGCTACATGGATGAGCCTTAAGGATATCAGGCTTAGTGAAAAAAGCCAGTCACAAAAGGACAGACACTGTAGGGTTCCACTTATCCGAGGTCCCTAGAGTGCTCAGAATCACAGAGGCAGAAAGCAGAGTGGTGGGTGCCCAGAGCTGGTGTCAGACTGGGGAGACAGCGAAGGGTGGGGACAGATGTGAGGCTCTGGAGATGGATGGTGGAAGGTTCCACAATGTGGAATGTGTTTAATGTTACTGAAATCTATGCTTAAAGATGGTTAGTACAGTAAATTTTATGTTACACATATTTTACCACAACTTAAGAAAAACAAAGATTGAGTCACCCAGTATTACAAATGTGCAGAAGATAGGCTTCTGAGGATGTGACCACTTCTGGCTGCTGGGCCCTCCCGCAGTGAGTCCCCAGCACTCTGATGGAGTCCCCTGGGGCCCTGTTTAATTCCTCCTTTCTTGTGACTATGCCTGTAGGTTACCGGGGCCCACCAGGTCCACCTGGGCCTGCTGCTCTTCCTGGAAGCAAAGGAGATGAGGGGAGACCGGGAGCTTCGGGAATTCCCGGGAACAAAGGATGGGTTGGGGACCCAGGACCCCAGGGTCGGCCTGGTGTATTTGGTCTCCCAGGAGAAAAAGGTAAAAGTGCCCACGTGAAAAGGCAGTGCTATATATGGGTGGAGGGGACTGGAGCCCCTGTCCCGCCACACATGTCCTCACCATCCTGTCTGTCACAGGACCCAGGGGTGAACCAGGATTCATGGGCAACACTGGACCTACCGGAGCTGTGGGTGACAGAGGTCCCAAGGGACCCAAAGGAGACCAGGGATTCCCTGGTAAGTACCGTCCACAGTGTGGCAGCTCAGACTGGGAACCTGTCCCTCCCGTCGGGATTGGCATCTCCTAAGGCTGACACCAGAGTCAGCCACTCTCGAAGGAGCTGAAAGGAAACCAGGGTGGGCTGCCAGTGTGCCCCAGGGTCTTGGTGGAGGTGAGCATGTAAGTGGCAAGCACAGGGTGACCTCTCCCGTGAGTCATTGTCCAGCTCACCTCTGGATGCCACACTGCTCTTGGGGCTATAGTATCTGCTTCAGCAGAAGAGAAGTGAATGAGTTCAGTTCTGAGTGCTCATCCGGCCTTTCTTTCCCTCGCAGGTGCTCCTGGTCCCGTGGGATCCCCTGGCATTGTAGGAATCCCCCCGAGGTTTGCTGTCCAGCCCGGAACACTGGGACCCCAGGGGAGAAGAGGTCCTCCAGGGGCCCAAGGGGAGATGGGGCCTCAGGGGCCTCCTGGAGAACCAGGTAGGGCACTAGTCTGGGTGCCAGGGGCCAGCAGGGAAAAGCTTCTGTCCAGTTTGCTTTGGATGCCCTTGTTGTTCTCTTGGGCTGAACGTTAGTAGTGTTGACCATTCTTGGGGCTTCTGGTCACACTCACTTATTTGGTGTCCTGCAGGTTTTCGAGGAGCTCCAGGGAAGGCTGGACCCCAGGGAAGAGGTGGCGTGTCTGCTGTTCCAGGGTTCCGGGGAGACCAAGGGCCCATGGGACACCAGGGCCCAGTTGGCCAAGAAGGTATGTGACAGGTGGCTGAGGAGAGGAGGGTCAGCGAAGGCATGGCAGAGAGTCAGGTCTGCAGAACAGGGACAGATGAGTGCAGAGCAGAACTGGAACCCAGACTCTTGTCACACCTGCTATGCTTTGTCCCTGGGCACCTGCCTGGTGAGACACCTGGGCAATGTGTCCAGGATAGGCCACTTCCTCTCTATGGGACATTTGACCACTGAGTGACCAGCAGGCTTCACAGGACCTTGTGAGCCTGAGATAAGGAGTGAGAAATATTGTCAACTGAATCAGCAGGCACATTGGAAGGTCCTATATTACTTGTTTCTTAAAATCGTTTATACACATGCAGGATGCAATAGCCAGAATTAACAAATTAGTGCAAAAACTTCTTAAGCATTGTTTTCCTCAACCTAAGCTCAGTCTGAGCCAATGGTGTGAGCAGCTGTGCTGACTATTAGGACATTGTTCAGGTCAAAGGGAGCAGTGCTCTCCACCCCCAGGGCCACCCCGAGGCAGCAGAAGTGAGCAGTGTAGGGGTCACACATCCAGAAACAGGGACAAATCAGAGTCTGTCAAGGACAGGAGACCAACATGGGGAGGGGAAAAGGGGATTCCTAGAAGAAAACAGAGACAGTGACTATCCTTTGGAGGGGGCAGTGCCTCCTAATTTCAAGTGTCTGAAGGGCGGCCACACTGGAGACAGACTGGACGCTCTGCTGTGCTCCGGGCAGAATCAGGTCCTAGCTGGCAGTGCAAGGGAAAGGGTTTCAGCAACACACCGGGAAAACATAACCCGAGAAGGAGTGGCCCAGCATGCCACAAGCTTGTCCTGCCACCTGCCACCAGCCACCTCTCCCGGATGTGCCCGGCTCAGAGAGGTGGCTACAGGGACAAAGAACAGTTTGCTGGGGTGCACCCTGGGGCCAGGGCAAACTAAGAGGCTTCTGTGGACACTTTCCACCCCAGGGTCCCCCAGATCTTCTTGCTGTGCATCTGGCACTCATTTCCGGAGGGCTCTTCACCCGCTGACTGCAGATGTTACGTCTAGCGATGACATCAACATCACATGCTTAGCACGAAATTTATTTCACGTCTTTCCCGAGGCTTAGTCTAAGTGGACTGAGCCCCACATTTGGGGGGAGAGAGAAGAGTGACCATTGTAGGGGGGCCTGGAGACCGTTCTCTGTCCTGTCTGAGGGGACCGCAGGCAGCTGAATGGCGGCCGCTTTCTCTTGGGCCCTAGGGGAGCCAGGCCGTCCAGGGAGCCCAGGTCTTCCGGGCATGCCAGGCCGCAGTGTGAGCATCGGCTACCTCCTGGTGAAGCACAGCCAGACGGAGCAGGAGCCCATGTGCCCCGTGGGCATGAACAAGCTCTGGAGCGGATACAGCCTGCTGTACTTCGAGGGCCAGGAGAAAGCACACAACCAGGACCTAGGTAGGTGCCGCAGCCGAGACCCATGGTTGGCTCTGTTCCTGACCCTGATGGAGGCCAGGGCCAAATGGCCACAGTGAGATCATAAGCCCCTCAAGCTGAGGAGCTTCTCCTTCCTGGAGTGCAGATCCCCTCACTACTGGGAATAGAAAGGTTGAGATGGCCATTGGGGCAGACGTTAAACCTCAGGTCCCAACACAGGGCCTTTTAACTTGCCGTTGGCTTCTGCGGGCTCTTGTGCGATTCTTGCCAAGCACTAATTTTCACCAGAGGTCATCCGTTGCTTGATGTTCTTGCATTTTGTCCCAAGCCCTGTAAATAAGTTGGAGTGAGGCTGGGACACTCATCCTTCACAGACCCTCAGAAAACAGACATGTGGCTATGTGCGTGTATTCATTCAAGCAAACATTTAGAAAATAAGACCATGGCTTGAGAATTCAGAAAGTGCAGCAAACACAGATGAACACAGGCACGGTCCTCCGTCTGCAGCACCCTCGGAGGGCAGAGAGGTGCAGGAGGCAGGCACATTCTGTATCAGTGAGGGCCACACCGGACGTTCGGCTGGTGATAATGTGCCAAGCCACCCCTTGATGATGTGTGCACTTTCCCCTCTGCTTCCGTAGTAAGTTTTCAAGAACAAGTAAAAGCCAATAGGACAGCCCATACTGCGTGGTGGCTGAGGGTGGCCCACGTCTGGCTGTAAGCTTTTGTCAACGACCAGTGTGAAATGCAAAACCTGCTTCACTGGAAGGTCCCTCTGGCCGTAAGTTGAGGCCACCTTTGTGCTCAGAGGCAGTAGAGCTGTTGGGATGGGACCAGCCAGAGCTGCTTCTGGGGGAATTAGGAGGCCCACAGAGAGATCCTCATCTTGGATGCCACCTGGGTTTCATGAGGTTGGTGCTGTAAAGACCCCCCACCAAGCTCAAGATACCATCTGTAAAGACACACTCCCTGGTGTTCCAGCTCAGTCCAGAGGTGTGTACAAGAACTTGTGGAGGAACCAGACTCTTCCAAATGCCGGTGTAGTCTACACAATAAAAAATTAAACTAAGCTATAATCCCAACACTCAGGAAGCTGAGGCAGGAAAATTGCAAGTTCAAGTCCAGCCTGGGCTACATAGTGAGACCCTATCTCAAAAAAAAACCAAAGAGCAAAATAATAAAATTAATTAGTTAATTAAATTATTAAAAGAATAAAAGGAATTGTAGTGCCTGTGCTTAGTCTCTGCCCGGTGGCCCTGGGGCAGATCCATGCGCAGAGCCTCCAGGGTGGAGGGGCCTCAGGGTGGAGGGGACTCCAGGGTGGAGGGGGAGGGCCTGGCCTCACACCCGCTCCTCCCGCAGGGCTGGCGGGCTCCTGCCTGGCACGTTTCAGCACCATGCCTTTCCTGTACTGCAACCCCGGTGACATCTGCTACTACGCCAGCCGCAATGACAAGTCCTACTGGCTCTCCACCACCGCCCCACTGCCCATGATGCCTGTGGCCGAGGACGACATCAAACCCTACATCAGCCGCTGCTCTGTGTGCGAGGCTCCGGCTGTCGCCATTGCCGTCCACAGTCAAGACGTCTCCATACCCCACTGCCCTGCTGGCTGGCGGAGTTTGTGGATTGGCTATTCCTTCCTCATGGTATGTGGTTCTTTCCCACTCTCTCAGAGCATGGACCAGGTGGAAATCTAATTCTTCTCCCCAACCACACACTGGGTGGGGACCCAGCAAGAACACAAGCCTTTGTAAGACTTACCAGACAGAACAGTTGTTCAGTCTGTACACTGAGCAAGGGCACCTGGCGCAGGGGTTGAGTGAGGACTCAAACATAGTTTGCTTCTTGCTAAGGAGCCATGAGCCAAGGCCTGAGACCTCCCCCAGCCGGAGAGGAGCATTTGTTTGCCACCAAAACTTGAACAGAGTGTAACTCAGATCAGTTTGCTCTCTGATTCATCCTCCTTAGCACAACATCAAAGGTGCAGTTCTTTGTGGTTTACTAGAAGGCTGAGTATAGGAATCTTGTCTGTAGTCCTGACAGTCTCGTATAGAACCTTTCTGGAACCTAGAATACTTTTGAATAATGTGCACTGACTGGTTGCTCTCAACCAGGAGAATCCTGGGTAACATCAGTGCACCTGCAGGCATACCACACCAGAACCTGTCCTGGGAGCCTCAGCTGCTCCCTTGGGGTGTCCCTCCTGGGCTGACCCCGGCTGTCCCAGCATGGGACTGTGTCCAAAAACATCTCAGGAGAATGCATGGACTGGTTACCTCCTGCCACTGTTGACAGCACGCAGGAGTGGACAGGGTGTGTATTCGGTGGGCAGAGCACCTTCTGAAGGTTCTCCTAGGGCTTGCTGTTGAGTTCAAAGGTCATACTGGGGCCCAGGTGTCTCACAGAGTAGGTTCCTGGCTCCCTGCAACCAAGCCAAGACCCTGCCCCAAATGGACAGGTTCCGACAGCCCAGTCCCCCCTGGAGCTTCTCCCCCAGGCCTATGGCACCCTTAGATATAAACCTTGCAGAAGCCAAAGCTGTAAAAACAGAAGTAGAACTTTCCTTCAGAAACCTCACTGCTGGCTCGAGACCCACTGAGTGCTTAATTATCTGATTGGAAAAAGCTTCAAGCCGGGAGCCATGGCTTGTGCCTGTAATCCCAGCTTCTCAGGAGGCAGAGGTCAGGAAGATCATGGTTCAAAGCCAGCCTGGGCAAATAGTTCTCAAGCCGATAGAAAAAACCCAACACAAAAGGGGGATGGTTTAGTATCTCAAGGTGTAGGCCCTGAGTTCAAGCCCCAGTACTGCAAAAAAAGAAGAAAAAGAAGTCAAAAATGGGAAAACAAGAAGCTTTTGATCAGGAGGCACCGGTGTGTCTCTGGTTTTGGTTTTTTGGTCAATCATTCAGTAAAGCAAACAGCAGATTATCACCTGCTCTGGGCATTTCTGACATGGGAGTTCCTAACCCTGCTCTGTCTCTGTCCTCTGCACAGCACACTGCGGCTGGGGACGAAGGCGGCGGCCAGTCACTGGTGTCACCGGGCAGCTGTCTGGAGGACTTCCGAGCCACTCCGTTCATTGAGTGCAATGGAGACCGTGGGACCTGCCACTACTTCGCCAACAAGTACAGCTTCTGGCTGACCACCATCCCGGAGCAGAGCTTCCAGGGCTCGCCCTCAGCGGACACGCTCAAGGCCGGCCTCATCCGCACGCACATCAGCCGCTGCCAGGTGTGCATGAAGAACCTGTGAGGCCTGCACAGCCTGAAGGCCACTTGGTGCTTATCCTTAACTTATTACCTCAGATGCTGACCCCAAAGTTATCTCAGTATTTTCTTTAAAAAAACAAACCAAAGCTACCAAAGGAACTGAGCACCCGCACTGACATCCAACAGCGCCGGTCACTGGGGACCCGCCACCCTCAGGCTGCAGCCCTGCTTAACACTCACGGCAGGGCAGACATCTGGGTGCAGCCTGCACAATCCCTCTTCACCCCCGCCCCACGCTAGGCCACCTTGCCACCAGTGTAGCCACCAATAACTGTCCCCATGTAACACTGCTTCCGCTCGCCGTGGACCTCTCTCATTTCCTGGGGTGGTGCAGACTCTTATGTGACAGCAAATGAGAATGTGTGGCCAGGGATCCGATGAGGCTGTGAGCTCCCTGCCACCGATCCCTACCCCAGGGCCCCTGTGGTGGGCCTGGTGCTGTTTCCTAGGTGGAAGGGATGTCCAGTTTTCTCCCAAACTCTCCAAGTCCCCACACAAAGGCCACCCATGCTTTTTTTCTAAGTCCCTGACAGTCCCACCTGGTCATTCTTCCACCACGTCCTCACAGACCATGGGGTTTGGCCAAACTCACGTAGACGCAAGGCTGTTCTAGCCATCACCAGCATCTGTTGGAAGGAAAACTTGGCAGAGTGGCAGCGATGTCCCCTGGCCTGCATCTCCCTGGATCCCTGGACACCTCACACCCCCAGCCCCATTCTCTGCAGAGAGCTGTCCTCTTCTGCCTGTCCTGTGTAATCACACAAAATAAAAGTTATTTTGAACGTTTCTAAACCTGGGATGCATCTGTCTTAATTTTTTCATGTTCTCACACAAAATTTGCTCCAGGAAACTCAGGCTTCATGCTCGGCCCTGGTGCCCTGTTTTCCGTGTTTCCGTGAACTTGGGTCTGGTATCCAGTGCTGTCACTCATTTCTCAGGGAGCTGTGTGCGTGATCCATTCATGTTCACAGAAAGCCCACACACCACCCATCACATGGGCGCATCGCAAACTCACTTCCAAGTTCAATCATTAGGGTCCAGCGTGACCTCCAACCCCATCTCGGTATCCTAAAGTCACCCTTTGCAGGGCCAGCTCTGGCCTTGACATCTCTGCATCCTCACTGAGACTTACAAGCACAATTCACAGATCTTTTTTAACCCTGGGAAATTCAATCTCATCTTACATTTGTTTTCTTAGAAAAAAAATCCATGTAATGAACTAAGCATTGCACTTTTTTATTACTTTATTTATTTATTGACGGCACTGGGGTTTGAACTCAGGGCCTCAACTTGCCAGGCAGGCGCTCTACCACTTGAGCTACTCTGCCAGTCCACATCACACTTTCTGATCTTATTTGAAACAGATGAGAAACTGTCTTGGCTGGGAACCCCAGAAACCAAAGACAAAGACTTCCACACAGGAGGTCAGGTGGGGGACTTGAGTCCAGGGGACTGGAGAGGAACCTGGGCGGAAAGAGAGCAAGGAGGAAAGGCCAGCTCAAAGGCTTGTCACTAAGGTTAGCTACCACTGGGGGCCATGTAAGTCTTACACTGAAGACTCTCTGGGGAGGCCCATGGAAGGAGACTCAGGCTGCCCAGCCAACTCATGGGACAGGAATTCATTCTCCATCTGTCCCCACTGGCCAGGGACTGTCCTTGGATGGTCTCCCTCACAACTGAGGTGTGCCATCTGGCAGCACCCCAGGAAGAGGGAGCCCAGAGTGGGAAACCACCCTGGGAACTGTCAGGTTTCCCCTGCACATGGTTACCACAGCAACAGCCATAGCAGAGTGGTGCCCAAGGGGACATGAGTCCAGGGCCCAAGGTATGCAGCAGCTCTCCATCCTAGACTGCAGCCCTCACCATCAAGGATGTGACCACAGGCTTGGGACCGTCCCAAAGTCTCCTGCTCGCTCTGGTTCAGGTTTGATGCCTGTGTGTGGCTCACACTTATAGTCAGGGCCCAGTGTTACATGTAGAATGGTTGCTTGACCTAGACCTAAAGTAAGTAGGAGAAGGCTAAGGTCAAGGTTTCAATACATACTTAGATTCAAGAACGTAAGCTGTAAAACACACTAAACTCAAATAGTTCCCAACCCCAACGTCTGTGCACAGGGGCTGACAATCCCAAAGACTCAGGCTCTGTTCTTTGTGGATCTTGGCATGTCACAGGAGAAAGATACTTCTGGTCTAGCTTCTCAGTGTCCAGAACAGCCACCACCCTGAACGCTAAGTGTGCATGCACGACCTCGAAGACGCCCCATACTTCCTGAGCTCAGAATCACTTCAGCTTCCCAACTCCTCCATAAGTGACCATACATACCCTGGCAGGGAAGCTGCTGGCCTTCACAGGAAACCCAAGGAAACAGTTCACAGCCCTCCTGACTGGCAGGAGGGGCACCAAGGCAGGGCTCAGCAAGCCAGGAGAGCTGCACCCACCTCGAAGCCACACAGGAGAGCAAGACAATGAGGGCACCCTTGCAGTGTCTTTCTGCCCATTGGGCCCAGGGTACAATGAGACAAAAAGTACAGCTGGCACGCATGCACTCCTGTGGGTTTGTATGTACCCTGGACCTTGGGGAGGAACAGCTGGAGAATTCCTGCCAGCTGGGAATTTTGAATGTGCTCAAGAAAAGAACAATTCAAAATACACCATGCAGGTGCAGAGAAGGGCTATGATGAAGGTGAACTTAACACATGCTTAATAGGGAAAGGGTGGGAAGGAGACCTAAAAAACGTTGTGAAGGACTGGAGGATGGTCATCTCTACCTCCCAGCAGCCACTGGGCACAGCAGTTTCCCTTCAAGCTCAGGAAGGCCCCACACCACATTTAGACTGCTCGTAGAGAGCAGACGAAGCCCAGGCCCACAGTGCAGGCTGTCCATCCCCCCCGAGAGCTTCAGGCTGCCCTTCTGGCCTTGCCTCTAGCTGCCATTCCCCAAAAGAGGCTGTGCATATAGGAAGACAGAGAAATGGCCCCAGTCTCAGGATATGCTAAGGGGCACAGGAGGTCCTGTCATCAGCAACCTGGGACATGAGCAGAGCCTGTGGGACACTCTCAAGCACCATCTCCCCGAGACAGTTCAGCTGGACAGTTCCAACTCTGCTCGCATGGGTGTGAACAGAGCAGCTGAGCAAATGGGTGGAGGATAGGGGACCCAGGTTCCTCACTGGAGTGAGAATTTACAGCTAACCAAGGGGAGGGAAAAACTACATAGTAATGGATCAGATTAGAGCAGTAAAAGCTCATGTTTTCACCTGGGTGAGTTCAGACAGCCGAAGAAACAGACATGTCAGGGGACAGGCTAGGCACACACGCATATTTCTTTGCTCTGTGTGCTTGAGAGAGCCTGAAAGAAACACCCACTTCAGACCTTGGTTCCCAATGCCATCCTCCAACCCAGGACCCAGGGCCCCTTGGAGAATCTCTAGGCTCTAGGACTGGGCAGGACACAGGAGGTGACAGAACATCCTGTGCTGCCAGAAAGTAAGGAAGTGTCAAAGATGACACCCTCACACCCCAGCGATGGCCATGTGTGACAGGTGAACTTGAGCCAGCTGGAAGAGTCCCAGCAGTCAGAGTTGAGCAGTCCACCCATCACCACAGCCCAAAGTAAATCTCCATGGGCCCAGGGGGCTATAGGCAACTGAGTGAGAAATGGGGAGGGGAAACAACTCTCCCAGGCAAAAACTTCCAAATAACACGAGTAGACCCCTAACCATTCCCCACTCCCCAAGTGTCCCGTGTGAGGAGCGCCCTTCCAGAGCACAGCGAGGAAAGCAGGCAGACAACGCCACCTCAATCAAGGTTAATAGCCACCTGCAGAGTGGGCAGCCTGAGCTCTCTCTCCACACAGCCCACGACCACAGCCCAGAACACCTGCCCTGGACTCTCACAACTGTCCTGCCCACCTCAAAACTAGGAAAGTGAGAAACTGTCTCAGCCAAGAGGAGCCTAAGGCATCAGGATGACTGTCGTGTGGGGATCTGGTGGGGTCCAGGAGGCTGAATAAAGTGTGGACTTATATTTTAATAATGCAAAGGTGGTTGGGGAGGGAGAAAGAGAAGAAAGAAGGAGGGAGTGGAAAGTTCCAGGAGCTGCTGGAAGCTGATTTATCAACCAGTTAAATATACACGTCCAGTTAGATGTCAGAAAGCACAGCTGGTGCAGCTGCAGCAAGGACAGCCTCTACCCACTGTCACCTAAGTCTATACTCAACTCATGCCTCTGTCACTGCCCAGAACGGGGTTCTGACCCCACTATTTCTCCAGCGCCCTTCTTGGGGTGGCCTGTCTCACACCATGCCTCTCCTGCGGTCACCATGGCAGTGTCTTTCCTCAACCTACTGCAAGGACCCAATGCTAGAGGCAGTGGCTTTCCTGGACAGAAGCCACTCTCAGAATGGGTGACTGACCACCATCACGGTGCCCAGAGTGGTTCTGCACAGCCTGGGCCCACTGTGTGGCGGTCACTGTCAGCTGTGTCACTGCACATGGCAGTGCAGCTCACAAGTGCACAAACCCTCAGAAAAGGAAAGGCCACTTCCTGCCCTGTACCTCCCAAACATGCCACAACTTCTCTGTCTGCGAGGCCCTTCCTCGGACATCCCCTCTGCATCTGGGGCTGGCGTCACCACATACAGGCAAGAGCCTGGGAACCCGAGAGCATTCCACGCTGCACGTGCTGATTTCTTTCACTGGATTTTCTTCGGAGGACAGGAAGCATGCAGACTTTCCCGTCTGGCTGTACAACCGTGTGGCTGCAAAGCCACTCAGGACAGGGCACAAAAATAACATCCTCCCTCGCTCCATCCAGACCCCCCAGGACCCCTTGACCCAGACCCCACCTGCACAGTGGCTCTCGGGAGCATCTTGCCAAACACGGGTAATTTGCAAAGTTCTCCCTCCCTCCCACCCCCAAGTTCAAGAACAGAGGGAAGATGGGGTGAAGGCAGCTTGGAAGATTCAGGTCCCACAATGGCAGTAACTGGCCCTAAAGTGGCAGCCATTCCTACAGGCCATTCGCCTCTCAACAGTAGGACCTTCTCTTTTGCCTTGTGCTGACTTAGCCCGAATTCTATACTTAGGAAAATTCTGTTTCATCTGCAGGATCTCTGTGCCCTTTGTACCTCCATCCTGCCAGGAGAACTAGCCTTTGGCTGTCAGAGTTAATGAAGCAGCAGGTGAGATCCGCACCCAAGAGACCACTTCCCAGGCCTCTGTGACCCTCCCAGAGGAGAAGCGGATGAGGAGATGAAATGAGGGCTGCTCAGTTTGTCCCAGGCCAGTGGTATCTGCCCGTTAGAAGTCTGAAAAACCACCCTACATTCATGAGAAACCATTACAGCCACCAGAGGAAAGTCTGTACCATCTAGATGCCACGCTTCAGCTGCCCTGCCCTGGTGCTTCCTGGTGCGCATCCTAAGGATGCAGAGGGGGGCAAGGTACAGAAGGGAAACCAGACTTGGAACCAGACCAGTGTGTCTCATTCTGGCCACTGACAAACTCTGTGACCTCCGAGCCCTCTCCACATCGTGGGCCTCAGATCCCATCCTTCACAAGGCAACCTCCAGCCCCTCGTCCTGACGGAGGGAGCAGTGCAGTCTGAGTGAATGCAGGGAAGGGAGGAAAACAGATATGGAGCGAACCAGGCAGAGCCACCTGCTGGTGCTGTCCTACTAGAGGGGCCTTGGCCCATGGGCTTCCAAGACAGGCACCAGGGGAGCGTGCCCACGGACTTTCAGGGTCTACACTGCATGCTCCACCCAGTGCACACTGTGGGGCTTGGAAGACCAGAGTGGGAAGGGTGGAGGATGCAAGGCCACAGGCTACAGAAGAGGCTGGATGAGCAGAGGTAGCAGCTGGGGCAGGCAGGAGGACAAGGACGCAAAGAACAGAAGTGCCATCTGGACCCCTTAGCCAGTGCTGGGAATGTGTCTCCAAGACCTGCAGAACTGACTTCCCAGGAGTCTCTTGTCACCACTGAGTGGAGGCGTGGCATGTTTAAGAAAGTGAAGACAAATACTCAGTGCCACGAACCCCCTGCAAGGGCCAAGAAACCGTCTCTCCCATACTTGAGCACCAGCTTCAGGAATCTGCAGGGATAAAGCAAGACCCGAGGCAGTCTCCGAGCCCAGTGGACAGCAGCAACGTGTAAGCCAGGAAGACAGATTCAGAGAAGACAGCCCTGCTTTCTGAAGAAGTCTAGGAAAAGGGACATCGGTAATGAGCAGTACCCAGATTACAACATAACTTACCCTACCACTTCCCTGCCACCACCACCACGCACTGTGCTTAGAGGCACTGGGAAGCAGTACCATGCTTGCCTCGTAAGCACAAGACCCTGGGTTCAAATCCTATCCTGCAGGAAAAAGAGCCCTGGGAAATGTCCAGAGCGGTTTTCATCTGTTTGAAAACACAGTGGAGTCCCAAGGGGAAAAGTGCAAACAACAGGGTTCTGACATCACATGCAGAGGTTGACTGCAGGCTGCAGCCAGGCTCCTCCATCCTCCAGCAGCCAAATGGGGACAAGGGAAAGGGGTACCCGGGAGTCCTCACTCAGACCCACAGTCCTTGTCCTGAGGAGATCTGCACCATCCACAAAGGCAGGATGGCAAAACTGAGGACTCCCAACACCTGGGAACTGTCCTCCGGGAGGGACCAAGGGCTCCATGATCCTGTGGAACTGGACCCAAGGACCAGGATCCGCAGGGAGAAGCGCAGGCTGGTGTACAAAGTGCACCTAGGACACCATGCAGAACAGGGTGCCAGAAGGCTGAACACCACCATCATTTTCTCTCTCCTGATGGATGGGAGAGCACCTGGTGGCCAGGACAGAGCTGCCACCAGCAGGAGTGTACTAAATTAATCATTCCCTCATGCAGCATACCCAGGGACAGGCAAAAACTGCAGGTACAAGGCAGACTGCAGTGTCAACTGCTCAGAGGAACTGAGAGTAACTCAATTACTCTGTTTTGTTACTTTGAGAGTAACAAATGAGAGTGACATGCTTCCGTGGAACTGGCATGCCATCAGTGAACACCAGCTACTGGACAGGCGGCCATGCATGGAAAGGAGCCGCTGGGAACTCAAGAGCCCAGGTAATGGAATCAGAGAATAAAGGATCAGGGCAGAAAGGATCTTGGGATCCACCAGCCCATCCTGGCCTCAAGCATGAATTGCAAAAATGTCATGCAACACCATTTCTCCCTCCCTGTCTTCAAAGACAGATTCTAGGGTCTCTGGTGGCATGTCCCCTGCTGTGTCACTAACACAGCTGCACTTTGTGGACAATAAACATAACTTCTGCTCCCACAGCACTAAATGCAAACAGATCAATGACAAGTAATGAAGTTGACTAGCTTCCCATTTGTCAATGGACTGCCAGACTGAACTTCAGGACCCGGGGATCCATCCACTTCCACAGGAAGAAGGCCTGGCCCCCTTGTGTGGATCCCACACAGGGCTGTGCCGCTCTGCCTCTCACACATCTGCTTGGCCAAGCACCTGAAAGATGCAGGCTGGCCATCCAGTGACCAGGCCACAGGCCTTCAACAAATGAGCACACCCCATAGAGAATAAACCCACCCAAGGACTAGTCACCTCACTTTGCCTCCTTGCTGTTAGCTTAGCCCCAATCCCGGCCTGCTTGCTCTCAATCAAATGGCTAAGAACAGAGAAACCAGCCTCTCCAACAGCTGCCTGGCAGCTTCCACCTGCAGTAGAACTGCAAAGGTTCTGACATGAAACCCAGAGGACCCAGGGCTCTCACACAGACTCCAGCAAGACCAGAGCTTTCAGTAAAGTTATTAATTCAGGTCACTGACAGCTCAGTAGACGGACCAACCTAAATATCCTGGAATGTGGGCCAGGTACAGTGGTGTACACCTACAATCACAGCACTTAGGAAGTTGAGGCAGGAGGACACGAGCTTGACGGAGGTCATCCTGGGCTACATAGTGAGTTCCAAGCCAGTCTGGGCTGCACAGTGAGAGAGACACTGTCTCAAAAAACAAAAATAAAAACAAAAGGCAGGGCTGGATAGGACACTTACCTAGCGTGTGTGAGACCCTGGATGTTAACTCCTAGCACTGCAAACTTTTTTTCTTTACTTTTTTTCATTAAATAATAATGTAAGGATTTGATGTAGTTTTAAAGAAAGAAGGAAGTCTTCCAGGTTCACAGCCAACACCCCAGAACATCCCCACTCCCAGCAAGGAGTCCCCTGAGGCTCAAACAAAGACTCCATCAGAACACGAGATCTCAACACCAAGGCTCTTCTCAAAATCCTTTTTAATAACACGTGCAGCCATGCTGCTCAACCGATATAAAAAGCCATCCCTGATTTTGTATAAATGAGACATAGGAGATCATTATTAAAATGCATGAAGATATAAGTACCAAATGTTAGGACCACAGGTGAATCACAGTGTAGAGAAATGTTTGAGAACAAGGCAAGCACAAAAGTGACTACCGAGGGCACGGGGCAGGTCCAAGGCAGGTTGCCAGACTGCAGATTCCACTGTGCAAGGATGAGGGCCACAGCAGAGGATGCCGGGGACATGGGGGGCAGCAGGCAAGGCAGGGTCGGTTCCTGGTTCTGCAGATCTACATCCTCCCCTGCTGACACGCACAGGTGCCTGTGCACAGGGGTCTGCATCAGACCAGAGGCTGCTCCCACCCATTGCACACCGTTCTATGAAATAACTGCAATGCCCCGCTCTGTGCTCCTCCCTGACCCCAGCTCGCCCCCACACACCCTGCAGACTGAGGTCAAGTGCAGCACCCAGATCTGGTCCGTTTGGGCGGCTTGCTGCTGCTGATATCCACAGTCTGCGCTGGCTCCTCAGCCCTCTGCCGTACGATCACTGGCACCACCATGTCAAACAGTGTCTCAAACAGGAGGTCCACGTTGTACCCAGTTTTGGCACTGGTCTCAAAGCACATCTGCTCAGCGGCCGGCACCTCCTTCTCATCCAGCATCTTGTACTTCAGGATCTTCTTATAAAGAGCCACTGCGTCCTCCAGCTGCACCTGCTTGGGCACCCTGGGGGAGACGTAGCCACCGATGGCCTTCCCCGGGGTGTGCTCTTCCTTTTCCCGGCTCTCGGTGGCCTCCTCCTCAGTGAGGTCCACTTTGTTCCCCACAATGGCAAACAGGCAGTCTTTGCTGGCTGTGTCTGTCAGGCCTAGGAACCTGTCCTCCAGCTCGATCAGGCTCTGCAGGTGGTTCACATCGTAGGTGAGGATGACAGCTGCCGCCCCCCGGCAGTACATGGAGCCCAGGCCGTGGAACTGCTCCCGTCCTGGGGGGAAGAGAGAGGAAGGAAGATGGTCACCTCTTGACTCAGGATGCACCCACCGCCAGGAGGCATGGGTGTTCCCTCACCCCGCGCAAACGAATCGTGACCCCAAGTGTGGCTGGGCGGGGTGGAGACACCAATGGTCAGGAAAACGTGACCCACCAGGGCACCACGTCCAGATGGAAACTGGCCCGGGAACCCAGGTCTTTGGAATTGAAGGGCAGCAGTGCCCGCTCCACTCCAGGAGATCACAGGTCCATGGCTGCCAGAAGCACGTTTTGTTTTGATAGTACTGGATTTGAACTCAGGGCCTCGCACTCGCTAGGCAAGTGCTCTACCACTTGAGTCACGCCCCCCCCGCCCCCCCCGCCCTTTTGGCTTTCATTATTTTTCTAAAAGGGCCTCACTTTATGCCTGGCCTGGACTGAGATCCTCCTATTTACACTTCCCTCGTAATTGAGATAACAGGTGTGTGTCATCATGCCCCGCTTTTTACTGGTTGAGATGGGGTCTCACGAACTTTTTGCCTAGGCAGGCCTCAAACCACCATCCTCCTGATCTCTGCCTCTCAAGTAGCTAGGATTACAGGCATGAGCCACCTGCACCCAGCTCAGAAGTAGTTCTGAGCACATCATCACACACAGCACATCAATATTCAAGACCAGAAAGCCAGGCGCCAGTAGCTAGGATTATGCCTGTAATCCTAGCTACTCAGGAGGCAGAGATCAGGAGATTATGGTTCAGAAGCAGCCCCTGCAAATAGTTCTACGAGACCCTATCTCAAAAACACCCTTCACAAAAAAGGGCTGGTGGAGTGGGTTGAGGTGTAGGCCTTGAGTTCAAGCCCCAGTACCTCAAAAACAAACAAATAAAAAGAACAGAGGCACACCAGTGCCTCTTGATCAAAAGCTTACTGTTTTCCCATTTTGACTTTCTTTTTTTTTTTTCAGTACTGGGGCTTGAACTCAGGGTCTACACCTTGAGACACTCCACCAGCCCGTTTTTGTGATGGGTTTTTCAAGATAGGGTCTTGTGAACTATTTGCCCGGGCTGGCTTTGAATCATGATCCTCCTGATCTCTGCCTCCTGAGTAGCTAGGATCCATTTTGACTTTTTAAAAGATGTTTGAATACAGAGCTGCTGCTTGAGTCTCAGCTCTTTTCTTCTTGGTTTGTTTCTGGTGCTGGAGAAGGAACTGTCCGTACTAGGCAAGTGTTCTACCACTGAACCACCTCCCAGCCCAGGTCTGAATTCTGAGCTGCGTTCTGAAATGACACCAAACAAACCTATTTCTGAGGAAGTTCTGTAACCCCCACATGCAGCATGACCTTTCATGAGACTCAGATGTGACGGATGCCCTGCAAGGAGGGAGCAAACCCAGGTCAGGGAAGGCTATCTGGGGCAGGTGTGTCCTCCGGCAGGTGCTCACCCCAGCTGTCCACAGCACAAGGAGTGTCCTCAGACCTGCAGCAGGTTTGCTGTGACAAGAGGACATGCTGTTAGGAAGCAGCCACTATGCATGATCCTGCATTTCCTTTGATTAGAAATACTGGTGGCTGGCAGTGCAGCCCAGGCTGGTAGAGTGCCTGCCTGGTAAGCGTGGAGCCCTGAGTTCAAAGCCAACTACAGAAGCAGTAGCAAGGAGCATTTATCAGCACGGAAGTAACACAGCTGTCTCTGGCTGTGACAGGTGTTTTATGATCGTTGACCTGCCTGCCACTGGATCTCATGACTTATCGCGTCGAGAGCGAAACACGCAGCAACCATAACTTTTAGTATCCTTTTACAGCTGTATTTCAGTGTTTAAATCCAGTATCTGGGGAAGGCCAGGCCTGACTCACACTGTGCCAAGGAGCTTCTGACACAGAAGTTAGGAGCCCTTGGCACGTGGGTCTTTGGAACATGGACTGAAGGTGTTCCACCTGCAGACATCATGTGTGTAAAACACTGCGTCCTTTGCCAGATTCTCAGTGTCACTGCTTTCAGTCAAATGCCAAGATGCAGCTGAAGTCCCTCTCGTCCCCAGTACTTCTGGAATGACCACATTCTGACAGAGCACTTAGGCTAGGCCAGATGGCACCGCCTGGATTTTGCAACAGGCTGGTTACCCCATTCCGGGACAGTCTGCTGAGACACTGGCTCACCTCCTAGTGGGACAAACAGGTGGGACCCTCTGACAGCTGTCATCTCCCGTGCCCAGGGCCTGTAGCTTCAAGCCAGCAAAGCCCCAGGTGTTTCTCTGAGTGACCTGGGGAGATGAGCTAGAGCCCGAGCCTGGCCAGGTTTGGCAGAAGCTGAAGGTATAAGCCCTTCAGCAAGTCTGAAGGCCAAAATGTGGGATCGAGCAAGATCCCAGGGACAGAAGAGCCAGCCTGGGGAAGGTGGGTGTAGTCTGGGGTGCAGCAGGGCTCTGGAAACCTACACCCAAAAGGCAGCACCCTTCCCTAGTCAGTTCCTAGACTGCAAATTAATCATCCAAACAAGGCAGGCAAAAGCTGAAGTGTGCTGTCCCCTGGGCGAGTGGCCATTCTCCCATGCTGGAAGGTCATGGCCAAAAGCCTATAAAAACTGGCCATCAGATCCTCGTGTCGAGCAAGGTGAGCCAAGCTCAGAAGACAAGATGCCATGTCTTCTCTCATGTGCAGAATCTAGACCTAAATAATAATAGGACAGAACTGAAAACGCGGGACAGAAGGGAGAGCCAGCAGGAGGGGAAAAGGGGGTGATGGGAGCTTGATCGAAGTACACTATACACATGCATGAAAATAGCACAAGGAAACCCACCAAAACTATAGGGAAAGGGAGGCTAAGAAAAACAGCAGGGGAGGGAGGGTAAGAAACAGCAATAGAGGGGTGCACTTGATCAAAGTACCTTGTATGCTCACATGGAGACATCCCATGTAACCCCTTTATGTAATTAATATATGCTAATTTAAAAAAAATCAAAACAAAAACTTGGCCATCACAGCACCTGTTTACAAAAGAAAACAGGCTTCTCCAAGGTTATCACCCCGGGACCTCTTCCTGGCACACTAATCCTGTAGACCCAGAACTATGAGTCTTCCAGAAGCAAAAACTGCTATCAGCTCTAAGAGATTTCACAAGAGAGCAGAGACATTCCACTGACCCCGAAGAATTTTTTCATATCTCTGTCACATAGTTTACTCAGGACAAAGGGAGAACTGTGTTAATGCCTACGCCTAAAATAGCCTTCCATTCAGATAAGAATGTCTGATCTGAAGCTGGGCGTGGTGGCACCGCCTATAATCCCAGCACTCAGAAGGCTGAGGCAGAAAGATGCAGAGTTCAAGACTAGCCTGGGCTACATGAGAGACCCTGTCTCAAAAAAAATTTTTTTTTTAATTAGAAGGTCTAATTTGCCTTTCAAAACCTAAGAAAAGGAAATAATTACATAAAAAGAAAGATGATAGCAACTAAAGGAGGTAGGAAAGGAAGACCCCTTAACGCCAGCCAGACAAAAAATAAATGAGGACGGCTGTTCAGCTCACAAAGTCTGTTCTCTACCTCTAACCAGGGCAAACAAATTAAGGCAGCTAGCCCAGCCAAGGAATTTACAAGTCAGCAGTTTTCCTGCTTGAAATTCCCCAGTACTGTTTTAGATGTGATCTATAACTTTCAGCATTGCTAATGGGAAACTCAAGCTGCTCCCACGTGGACAGTGTCCACAGCAAGACTGGCTGCTCTCCACAGCAGAGAAGGGCATCAAAGACAGTGGAGATAAAGTGGAAAGACGTGACCTTTCCTGTACTTGGCTTTGCCAAATTCACAGAGTGTTTGAATCTAAGACTCCTGATGTTCTCCAGTGTGCTAAGCTAGGCCATCGGGCACCTCTGCTAACCTGCTATGAGCAGCCCCTCGCCCTCTCTGAGCACTGAGCTCCTTGTCTACAAACCTGACCTGGGTGGTCCATGAGTCTCCCCACAACCCAGGGTTTCCACCTCTCCTGTCCCCTTTCCCAAACCTGGGCCCCTAAGTCCCACGCCAAAGGCAAACTCCAGGAACCAACTGGTTTCCTTCACCTGGGTTTCCCGGGACAACAGAAAGCCATAATAACTCAGGGTGCCAGACTTCAGGCTGGCCCAGAACTTGGGCAAAAACAGAAAAATTTCAAGTTGGCCCAAGTCCAGTGGAAGCAGCTGAGGGAGAGCAAGGTGGGGAGCTTTGGTCAGATTAGCAGAGCCAGGCTGGCAAACGCAGTGTGACCACTCTCCACGTGGGCCCTGCTGGTGGGGAGAAGGACAAGATGAACCTGGGGTCTGGGATCAACTTGTCCGGGAAGCACTTCCAGATGTGATCTGTGGAGCCTGAGTCAGCAACAATTCAGACATGATGCCTTCTGTCCCCAGTGGCTAAGGAGAACCAGAATCCCTAACAGCGTCCCTGGATCTGATCAAGTGCCTTGCAGTGAAACTGACTGGGTTGATGCCAGCGAGTCCCGGCGGCCAGAGAGCAGCCAGCCGACCCTGCAGATGGAGCCCTGGGGCCTGGGTCCACTGGGCTCACCACAGTCTGGTTTCAGGTTCACAGATCTAGAAACACCATTATGCTAATTCCATTCACTGTGCACGGCCTAAGTTCTGTCTGAGAGGGGTTTGGAACCAGAACACCAGAGGTTTCCTTCCCAGCACCAGGAAACCTGGAGCTATTGATGACAACACAGTGTAACACAGCAGCGAGTCCTTGGGTTGAAGAGGCCCGTGTGGCCTGTGGCCTTTCCCTTCCCAGTGTTATAGAAAGGGAAACTGAGGCACAGACACCTGGGGGGTGGGGTGGGGGGGATGGAGCACAGTCAGGACAGGTGGCTCCAGGTCCACCGTCCTTGACATGGTGTCCTCACATCTCCTTCTGGCAAGAGAAAGGTGGCCTTTGGTGGTCATTCTCCCAGGGACATGGGAGCACCATTCTCCCAGGGACATGGGAGCACCGTCTTCCTGGGAGGTCCAAAGAGTACACAGCACTGTCCTAGAGGTGCTGCCCACTGC